AAGCAGCCTCTCGTAAGCCCTGGACAGAGGTGCGGCCCCAGCCCAGCCCGGGCCTGGCGCACAGTGGGACACCACCAGGCTGCGTTACCCAGACCAGCAGAGGGGCCGCAGGCACAGAGCCGGCGGGACCCTGGGCAGCTCCCCTGGAGGCCGGGGCGCAGCAGGGTCCGGGTAAGGTCCCAGGCGAAGAGTGCCTCCCTCCGTCAGCCTGAGGCCACAAAGCGCGCCCCGCAGCTCCCTCTGCCCCGTGCCCCCTCTGCTCCCACTGCGGCGCCAGCCCCGAGCTCCTCGCGCCACGCCGTGCCCGGAGCCCCGGCGCCCGCGGCCCCTCGGGTGCTGCTGGAGGCCCTCGGACCGCCCGGCCAGCACGCGGGTCCCACAGCCCAGAGCGGGCATCGCCGCTCAAACAGGCCCTCTCCTCCCAGGCGTGGCCGCACTGGGTCGGTGGGGACACAGCGGCTGGCTGCTCCGGTCGTCTCCCCGGTGGGAGGGGGCGGTCCCCGAAGCCCAAGCTGTGGCCTGGCGCTGCGCTCCCCGCCGGCTCCACGGCCGGGCTCTGGGCCGCCCAGCACCGCCCTCGGTGCGCAGGCTGCTTTCCGTCTCCATGACTCAAGCTCCCGGCAGTCTGTCCGCCGCTTCTCAGGACCCACTATTGCCCCCCTCTCAGGTGGCCAGGGGCAGGACTGACTCCTCACCCAACTCATACTCCGCCTGGTCACATGGTCCTGGCATGTCTGAGCCAAGAGCCCAGACCCACGCCCTCTCTCGGCCTGAAACACCTCCTCCTGCGGCAGGCACACTGCAGCGCGCTGGTTCCATCGCGGTCGGTCGGTTGGTCGGTTGGTTGAGGCAAGACCCTCTGCCAACGAACGAGGCGATTCCCTCTGGACAGCGCGCTGCGGTGCTGGGCAAAGCCTGGGCAGTGCTCGCTGGCGTGGCCCTCGCTCAGACAGGGAACCCGAACCGCCGAGACACTGTGCTGCCGCCTGGCACCTCGCAAGCCTCCTGGGGGCCTGCCCGGGTAGGAACCTGAGAGCAGCTCCCAGAGGCTCGGTCCAGATGCCCCCCAGGGCTGCGTGGGCATCACGGTGCTGAGGATGCACAGGGCCAGCTGTCGAGGGGCCGGGAGGGGCCCCGTTCTCTCCTCGAAGCGCAGCACCAAAGCTGGCCGCCCCAGGCCGGCGCCCACTCTGCCTCTCCCTCTTGCGTCACAGTCACACCTGAGGCAGCGGCGTGATTTGCACATTCTGTGCCCCCATCCCCAGTTCCTGGAGGGGAGGCCCCGAGACCCCAAGACGCAAGAGAGCAGGTGTGAGGTGAAGGACAGAATCGGTGTGAGACCCCGGTGGGGAGTGAATAGACAAAGGCAGCAGAGCAGGAGTGAGCCCTCCCGCCCAGCTGCCCGCCAGCCACAGCGGGCAGAGCGGCCCCCAACCTCTCCCGCGGAGAGCAGTCCCCAGGACAGCACACAGCCCCCCACCCCACACCCCTCAGCTGGGAGGACCTGGGAGCCAGGGCCCCCAAGATGCAGGGGCAGGCAGACCCTCTCCAGACCCTACCCCAGGCACTGCGGCCCGGGAGGAGAATGCCGACCTCCCACCTCCATGGAGACACGGACAGGGAAGGTCAGCGTGCTCTGGGCTCCTGGTCCCAGGGAGAAGCCAGCCTCCCCTTCTGGTCCCCAATACCACAGCCTTTGCCCAGACCCACCACCTACCCCGGCTCCCCTGACAAGGCGGCCCAGGGCCACAGCAGCCCTGATGGGCAACGCTCAAACTGAGTCCCACCCCAGTAGCACCTTCGCAGAGTGGGGCCACCCCCAAAGCCGCACAGGAGGGTCAGCCTTTGGGCTCAGGTGAGAAGGGGGAGCTTAAAGGAGCCCAGAACAGACCAGGGGCTGGGCTGCAGCCTGGGTCAGAGGGTTGGGGGCTAAGAGGTGCGGCCTGAGATGGAAGTGAATGTGGGGAAATCAGAACTATCATGGGGAAGGGGGTGGGACAAGGACTGAAGGTGCGGGAGCAGTCGGGTTGAATGTGGGAGGAGGTAGGGGTGGGTGGGGCCTGGGGTCAGGGATGAGGTGAGGCCAGGAGGAGGTGGGCCCTGGAGAGCTGGGGGAGATGGCCCACTCTGGAGGTCCCTGGCTCTGCCCACCCTCACACCCGCCTGGCCCGCTGCTCCTGCTAGCCGGCGCCGTCTCTGTGCAGTCGCCTGGACACGCAGCGATGTGCTGGGGAGGCGCCTGACGAGCACCGCTCCCAGGCCTCTGCCTGACCGCCACTCCTCCCTCACTTCCCCTTGATGCTAAATTTTTGTTTTAACAGCAAAGTGCCGGTCATTGGAACTTGTATAAAACCACACCTTAATACCTCAATCAATAAAGTCATTTTTAAAAACGCGCCTTGGGCCCGGAGCAGCGGCTGCCAGGCTGGGAGCGGCCAGGCCCGGGGGAGCAGGCGGGGCTGGTGCGGCCAGGCCCGGAGCAGCGGCTGCCAGGCTGGGAGCGGCCAGGCCCGGGGGAGCAGGCGGGTCGGGTGCGGCCAGGCCCGGAGCAGCGGCTGCCAGGCTGGGAGCGGCCAGGCCCGGGGGAGCAGGCGGGTCGGGTGCGGCCAGGCCCGGAGCAGCGGCTGCCAGGCTGGGAGCGGCCAGGCCCGGAGCAGCAGCAGCCAAGTCCAGAGCAACTAGGTCGGGAGCGGCAGTGACCAGACCCGGAGCAGCTGGTTGTGGAATGAACCAGAGCAACAGAGGCCAGGCCCTGAGCAGCCAGGCCCAGAACAGCTCGCTCCCTGCCTGCCCCTGCCCCACGGCTGCTTCTCAGACATGGCTGGAAACTTTCGTGGGAACTTGAGGGTCTGCTGAATCAAGTGATGAAGGCTTAGATCTGGATGTGTTGAGTTAGTTTAGGACTGGGGTGTTGATCTGTGAGTGCCTTGGGTGGGGCCTGGATGAGGCTGGTTGACCTAGTGGGAAATGTCTTTTGTGTGAAGTGTATCATTGGGCATGTGGAGGTATTATTGATATGAGAAAATGCTAAGTAACTGATTTACTATCTGAAAAGGGATTTACTATTGGGGAAATTGAGGGAAGAAGAGACTGAACATAAACTGCACCTATGGATGAGGACAATGGGGGATGGGGGGGGACGGAGGGTGGGGTGGGAACCTGGTGGAGGGGGGAAGAAATGAGGAACCTTTGTAATAATATGAACAATAAAGATTGATTTAAAAAATAAATAAATAAATAAATAAATAAATAAATAAAAATAAAAATAAATAAATAAATAAAAAATAAAAAATAAAAACGCGCCTTGGCCCATTGGCCTTGACCAAGCACCTCAGCTCTAGGTCGCCTCACACCCTCAGAGCTGCTCCGGGAAGGAGAGCAGGGCTGGGTGCTGAGAGCCACACCATGTGGGAGGACCCCTCCCCCCCACACACACACACACACACACACACTGGATCCACAGGAGAGATGCAGGCTGCTGTTTATGGATAAACTGTTTGTGCTGAATAGAAGGTAACAATACACCACATGGACTGGTTGCACCCCGTCCCGGTGTGGGGGCGGGCAGCGAGGGCGCGGGGAGGCGGGAGGAGCTCGGGGCGGTGGGAGGACCACACATGCTAGTCCCAGAGAAGCTACCCCACAGCCCACCGGGCAGGAGGAGTGCGCCTGGGGGTGGGGCGGGGAGGCTCAGGCGGTGGCAGACAGAGCTCGCGTGGCACATGCATAAGTACATGGGCACAGGGGGCACAGGCACACGTTCACGAGTCTGTCTCAGCAAGAAGGTGCCTGTGGAGGCTCAGCCCTAAGGGCCAGGGCGCCGCAGCCGGCCAGCAGGTCTTTACTCCCCAGGTGCTTAAGTCACATGATCCAGGGCTGCAACTCAGCTCACAGGCGGAGGCAAATCATCTTGTCAACGTTGCAGGACTAGTTGCAAAGTCACCAAGCTCCAGCTTCTGTCTGGTCTGCAGGCTGGGGCTCCGGTGACCACACTAGGGCCCCACCCCCACCGGCGCCCGCAGCCCAGAGGGTTCTCCGGCGTCACTCAAGCCAGCTCTCTCACCAGTTCCAAAGGTGAAACTACCCTCTGGTTTGGCACCAGGAGTTCAGGCGTCCCCCAGGGACACCTGGAGGCTTGGAAATGAAGCAATGGGTCAGTCATTGCAAGTGCAGAGCAAAACCCCTCCCACTGCCACCCTTTCAAGGCCACTCGGACCTACGGAGGGTGCCGGGTCCTCCCAGCAGCACAGCTGGGGACCTCTGATTTCAAGCAAAGGAGAGACTGAGAGGAAGAGAGCCCCAGGAGGACACAGCATCCTGGGGCCCTCAGCATCAAGCAGTCAAGACCAGGTCCACAGGGCCGCTTCAAATGACAGACGGAGCAGCCTGCAATAGCCCCGCCCACCCACAGGCCAAGCCGGCCTGCACACGTGGCCCCGCGGCTGCAGCGTATCAGTCCACGGAGCGTCTGGGGAAAGGGCTCCTTGAGGGCTGGAGGGACATGGATGTGGGGGACCCGGAGATGGCACCAGTGATTCTCGGGCAAGTCCATGTCAGCAGCTCCCAGCTCTGGGCCAGTCCCACTGCCCTCACGCAGACCACACACAGCACAGGGCCCTCAGGCTGCACACACTGCTGTTCCGCCTCCAGGGGTGCCCGCCAGGGCCTGCCGTACTGCGGCTGTGGCAGAGGGGAGGCATGGAGTCCCATGGATCGTGGGTGTGTCCGTGAGCTCTGGCCAGGCTCACTCACTGGTGAGTTCTTTCACATCCTTCCCCCATCCCGGAGGAGTGGGTTAGTGTGCCTGGGGCCCTGGGGCAACCCTAAGCAATGGGTCTCATGGTGTCACCAGGCCCTTGGGTCACAGGGAAGCTCCAGAGTCCGGTGATGCTCAGGGTCAGGTGGTCATCAGCCTAGAGAGCAGTAACCTGGGTGAGCTCCGTGTTGGGTGTTGATGGGCTCTGCGGGCTGACGGGCACCATGGGCAGGTCCACGCCTAGTCATGCAGGCCTCGGCACCGTCTCTGAGGTCTTGTGGGCGAGGGCCGCATCCTTGGTCGTGCTGCGCACACGCTCAGACCCCGGCCCCTCCCGGCGCAGTGCAGACGTGCAGCAGAACTTGCGGAAGCAGGCCTTGAAGTTCTCATCTAGGAAGGCGTAGAGGATGGGGTTAAGGCAGCTGTTGACGTAGCCGAGGGCTGTGCAGAAACGTAGGATGGCCACCGCCGTCTCACTGCCCGGCTGGACTCCCAGGCCTTGGACCAGGACGAAGACCTGGACTGGCGTCCAGCAGCCCACGAACACCGCCACTACCACCAGCACCAGCCGTGTGATGCGCCGTAGGTTCCGGTCCTTCTCTCGGGAGCCGGAGAGCAGACGGACACCCCGCAGCCGCCGGATCATGAGGCTGTAGCAGATGGAGATGATGAGCACGGGGATGATGAAGGAGAAGAGGAAGATGCAGACAGCAAACAGGGGGCCCCAGTAGTCCTGCGGGGTGGGGATCTCCACCAGACACTCGATCTCTGCAGGGAGAAAAGCAGGGTCAGGAGGAGCCAGGGAACATGGCCCTGGGCAGGAGGGACCACCCGACTGACCTTCATCCTCGACCTGTGCCGAGCCCATGATGGCCACCGGGATGCCGACGACAGAGGCCAGGGCCCAGATGGCCACATTGACAGCCTGGGCCTTGCTGGACGTCCGGACATCGAGGGCGCGGATAGGGTGGCAAATGGCTACATACCGATCCACACTCATAGCGGTCAGCGTGAAGGTGCTGGTGAACATGTTGTAATAGTCGATGGCAATGACTATCTTGCACAGGGCATTCCCGAATGGCCAGAAGCCCAGGAGCACGTCTGTGCCCTGGAAGGGCAGTGTCAGCAACACCAAGGTGTCTGCCAGGGCCAGGTTGAAGATGTAAATGTTGGTAGCTGTCTTCATCTTGGTGTGCCTGCAGGGGAGGGGAAAGGACAGCTTCATTTGGCCACTGTCTAGATCTGGGAGCAAAGCCACCAGGAGGGCGCCCACTCTGAGGCTTTTGTTAAACACAGGCTCCTGGGCACTGAGCCCGGGGCAAACAGTGTAATAAGCTTCAAGTCCTCCTGGCACACAAGAGGGCTCTACGCCTAGGACAGGTCTGCTGGGGAAAGTGGGTGTGCGGGGAGCAGAGCACACTTGACATTGCATGGCGTGAAGGGGTAGGATTGTGAGCAAAAGAGCCTGCTCCTCCTTCAGAGTTTCCCCCAAGACCCTTTGTGGATCAAATCCTGTCCCTGCAGCTGCCAGAATTCTCTAGCTTCCCAGACCACATTGTTGTCCAGCCATCAAGACAGGAAATGGCAACTGTGATGGGGTGGTGCTTATGAGGTCTAATGGTATCCAAGCTACTGGAATAGGGCTGGGGAAACTGGGCGTTTCAGAAATATTTGTGATAGTGGTGGAGGTCATGGTGATGGAGGTAGCAATGGAAGTGGAGGCAGTGGGGGAGGTGGAGGTGGCAGTGGAGATGGAGGCGGCAATGGCAGTGAGGCAGAGGTGGTGGTGGAGGGGGGAGGCGAAGGTGGTGATGGAGGTGGAGGTGGAGACGGAGGTGAAGGTGGAGGTGGTGATGGAGGTGGAGGCGGAGGTGGAGGTGGTGGTGGTAACAGAGGTGGTGATGGAGGCGTAGGTAGAGGTGGAAGCTGAGGTGAAGGCGGAGGTGATAATGGAGGTGGAGGTGGAGGTGGAGGTGGAGGTGGAGGTGGTGATGGAGGTGGAGGTGGAGGCAGAAGTGGAGGCGGAGGTGAAGGTGGAGATGGAGGTGGAGGTGATGATGGAGGTGGAGGTGGAGGCGGAGGTGAAGGTGGAGATGGAGGTGGAGGTGGAGGTGGAGGTGGAGGTGGAGGTGGAGGTGGAGGTGGAGATGGAGGTGGAGGTGGAAGTGGAGGTGGAGGTGGAGGTGGAGGTGGAGGTGGAGGTGGAGATGGAGGTGGAGGTGGAAGTGGAGGTGAAGGTGGAGATGGAGGTGGAGGTGGAGGCGGAGGTGAAGGTGGAGATGGAGGTGGAGGTGGAGGTGGAGGTGGAGGTGGAGGTGGAGGTGGAGGTGGAGGTGGAGATGGAGGTGGAGGTGGAGGCGGAGGTGAAGGTGGAGATGGAGGTGGAGGTGGAGGTGGAGGTGGAGGTGGAGTGGAGGTGGAGGTGGAGGTGGAGATGGAGGTGGAGGTGGAAGTGGAGGTGGAGGTGGAGGTGGAGGTGAAGGTGGAGATGGAGGTGGAGGTGATGATGGAGGTGGAGGTGGAAGTGGAGGTGGAGGTGGAGGTGGAGGTGAAGGTGGAGGTGCTGATGGAGGTGGAGGTATTGATGGAGGCAGAGGTGTTGATGGAGGTGGAGGTAGAGGTGGAGGTGGAGGTGGTGGTAGAGGTGGTGGTGGAGGCGGAGGTGGTGATGGAGGCGGAGGTGGAGGCGGAGGTGGAGGCGGAGGTGAAGGTGGAGATGGAGGTGGAGGTGGAGGTGGAGGTGGAGGTGGAGGCGGAGGTGGAGGTGGAGGCGGAGGTGGAGGCGGAGGTGAAGGTGGAGATGGAGGTGGAGGTGGAGGTGGAGGTGGAGGTGGAGGCGGAGGTGAAGGTGGAGATGGAGGCGGAGGTGGAGGTGGAGGTGAAGGTGGAGATGGAGGCGGAGGCGGTGATGGAGGTGGAGGCGGTGATGGAGATGAAGATGGTGATGGAGGTGGAGGCGGTGATGGAAGTGGAGACGGTGGTGGAGGCAGAGGCGGTGATGGAGGTGGAGGTGGTGATGGAGGTGGAGGCGGTGATGGAGGTGGAGGCGGTGATGGAGGTGGAGGCGGTGATGGAGGCAGAGGCGGTGATGGAAGTGGAGGTGGTGATGGAGGTGGAGGCGGTGATAGAGGCAGAGGCGGTGATGGAGGCGGAGGTGGTGATAGAGATGAAGATGGTGATGGACATGAAGATGGTGATGAAGGTGGAGGTGGAGGCGGTGATGGTGGTGGAGGTGGTGATAGATGAAGATGGTGATGGAAGTGAAGGTGATGATGAAGGTGGAGGTGGTGATGAAAGTGGAGGTGGAGGTGGTGATGGAGATGGAGGCGGTGAAGGTGGTGATTGAGGTGGAGACGGTGATGGTGTTGGTTGTGCCAACAGCAGAGGTGAGAGTATTCCATGTCAATTCCACTGCCACAAGGGAATATGAGGTTTACTCTTGTCTCATAAAGAGGGATTGAGAATAAGCAATGAAGACTTCATGACCAAATAGTAACAGCATAACAATGATAAAGGCAAAGTCCTGTGCCAAGCTCTTCACATTGATTTTATCATATTTAAGTTTCCCAAAGTGCTATTTTTGTTGCCTCCTCTATGCAGGAGGACAGGCAGGCTCACAGGATTGAAGTGGCTGTCTGAAGGCCACAGAGCCAGTAAGCAGCAAAGAGGGCCAAGGGATTGAGAAGAGCAGCCATGGACAGGAGAGGAAATGTGTCAAAGACACACGAGGTACAGGGCTGTTATTCAAAACACAAAGAACCAATACTCAACCATAAGGATACGGACAACTGGGTAAGGAATGGGCAGGACACCTTGCTAGAACCTCACCAAAGATGACAAACACAATGAAAAAGCAAATGGCAAGATGCTCCACGTTTTAGCCCTCGGGGAAGGGAAGTTAAACAAGGAGAGTCCACTGACACCCGGCGCGCCAAACCCAGAGCACTGACGCCGCCGAGTGCTGGCGAGGACGGGGCGGCGCGGACCCCTTCACTGCGGTGGGAACGCAGCCGTGCGGCCGCCCTGGAAGGCAGCTCGGTGGCCTCACACACTGCACAGCCTCTGGGACCCAGCAGTCACGCTCCCTGGTGTTTGCCCAGAGGAGCTGAAACCTGCGCATGAATGTTTATGATGTTTTATTCAGAATTGCAAAACTTGGAAACAACTAAGAAGTATTTCTGTGAGTGGGGAGAGGTCAATGAGGGAAAAAAGAGACATTTAATACTTTAAATAATAAAGAACTTAAATTAAGGAGGAAGAGGAGGAAGAGGAGGAGGAGGAGGAGGAGGAGGAGGAGGAGGAGGAGGAAGAGGAGGAGGGGAAGAACTTTTGTGAGTGGATGGACAAATAAACTGTGGCTCATCAGACAGTGGAATGTTATTCAGCACTAAAAAGAAATAGCTCCCTGGCCAGGCAGCTTAGCTGGTTAGAGCATCAGCTCAATATGCCAAGTCCGCAGGTTCGATCTCCAGTCAGGGCACATACAGGAATCAACCAATGAGTGTATCAATAGGTGAAGCAACAAGTCCATGTCTCTCTCTCTCTCTCTCTCTCTCTCTCTCTCTCTCTCTCTCACACACACACACACACACACACACACACACACACACACATTAATAAATAAAAAATAGCCCTAACCGGTTTGGCTCAGTGGATAGAGTATCGGCCTGGGGACTGAAGGGTCCCAGGTTTGATCCAGTCAGCGGCATGTACCTTTGTTGCTAGCACATCTCTAATAGGGAGTGTGCAGAAGGCAGCTGATTGATGTTTCTCTCTCATCAATGTTTCTAACTCTCTATCCTTCTGTAAAAAAAAATCAATAAAATATATATTTTAAAAATAAATATAAAAATAAACAAATGAGCTGTCAGGCCATGAAGAGACAGGGAGGAACTGAAATGCATGATTGAGTGGAAGAAGCCAATCTGAAAGGCTGTGCGACATCTGGAGAAGGCAGCACTGTGGAGACAGTAAAGACCATGGTGGCTGCCGAGACTGGTTTGGCTCAGTGGATAGAGCGTCGGTCTGCGGACTAAAAGGTCCCAAGTTCGATTCTGGTCAAGGGCATGTACCTTGGTTGTGGTCACATCCCTGGTAGAGGGTGTGTAGGAGGCAGCTGGTCGATGTTTCTCTCTCATCGATGTTTCTAGCTCTCTGTTCCTCTCCCTTCCTCTCTGTAATAAAAAATATATTAGGGGAAAAAAAGACCACGGTGGCCAGGGGCTGGGGGAGGGCGAGAAGGGGGCAGAGGGTTTTAGGGCCGTGAAACTTCTCTGTGTGGTACTAAGATGGTGGGCACATGTCATTACATGTTGTCCAGCCCCACAGAACGTGCAACCCCGAGGGCGGCTGCAGTGCACACTGTGGCTCTGGATGATGATGTGTCAAAATGTGCTCATTAATTGTAAAACTTGTACTATTCTGGTGGGAACTTTGGCCATGGAGAAGACTGTGCATGTGTAGAGTGGGGAGTATGCAAGAAATCTCTGTACCTTCCTCTAGATTCTGCTGTGAACCAAAATCTGCTCTTAAAAAGTCGTCTTTTAGAAAGACAGACCTGGAACAGTGGTCAGTACTGGGAAGGGAGCAGCTATTCCTCCCATTCCCTTATCTGAGCCTGCACACCACACACACCAACATAACACCATGTGCATTGCATACTCGGTTACATGTACATGTTGTGCAGTTGGACATGTGTGTGAGCAATTGTGCACATTTCTATATATTAGCACACATGTGTGTCCACTTGCACATATAAGTGCAAACACATGTACACTTACACCATTGGGCATGTATGTACACAATGGTGCATTCATGTATATAGTCATATTTGTGCGTATGTGTACATGTTAACATGTTATATGTGCACACTATGTGGCACCCTCTGGTATGTGCGTGCTCACGTGTGTGTGTGTGTGCTCACACGTGTGTACACGCATCTGCCCTCCCATGCTGTCTCTATATGGTGCCCATCCTGTCTTTGCATGCTATCTCCCCACATGTCCCCCATACTCTCCATGCTGTACCTCCACGGTCCCCACACTCTCCCCATACCCTCCCCGGCACTGTCCCCGTGATGTGTAGGGGCCTCATAGCCTGGCCACCCAGCTGGGCCCCACAAGCTTTCTCATTCTGAGCACACCGATGCTGAGCCGCCCAGCGCCAGGCGTGAACAGCAGCCTGGGATGGACTAGCAAGCGCTCCTCTCAGGGTCACTGAGGGCCCATGAGCCCTCATGGCTGGGAGCACCATCTATCAGGAGTCAGGGGACTGTCTGGGGCACACCAAGGCTGGGCCCTCGCCTCCCTCTCCAGCCCAGGGCCCCTCCCCTGAGGAGCTGTGCACTCCACGCCAGGACAGCCAGCCACCAGCCAGGCCAGCCAGCACAGCCCCCTCCTCGTGGGGCTCACCAGGCGGGGATTTCGGCAGGGCCCAGCTTACCTGAGGATGACATACATGACGAGGCAGTTCCCCAGCAGCCCCCCGACACACACAGCCAAGTAGAGCCCCACGATGGTGACCTTGAGCCCGAGGGGCAGGAAGGCCGCATGGCTGACATTGAGCAGCAGGTCAGGAGGCAGCAGGCTGTGGTTGGGGCTCAGGAGGCCGTCCTGCAGGTCACCGCTGTAGACCTCCCCGGGTGGGGTGGGGAACAGGCACTCCATGCTGCTGCCCTGCCTGCGCAGCCGCTCGGAACCTGGGAGGCACAGGGACACGTGACCACAGCGCCTGACACCCACCCAGCTGAGGCCTCCAGCACCATGTGCATGACCCGCAGGCACGTGAGTCCCCCACGGGCAGCCACAGTCCCAGAGGGACATGCTGCCCACAGGGACACAGGCCCACAATGTGCACACACAGGAACACACAAAGCACAGATCCATGCCTGCCGATACAGGGACACACAGCACACAAATGTGCATACACAGAGGCACAGGCACATATGCAGACATGAGGCACAGACGGGGACACAGAGAGAACATGTGTACACACACATGCTCAGTTTCACTTGGTCTGCAGGTCCCCACATGGGATGTGTGGGTATAGGTATACATGGGGACATGATTCCCCGCAGGGACTCCTGCGCATGCAGCTGCCCTGTATGCTCACAGGCACAGGGACACATGGGCACGCGCGCACACACACGCCCAAGCTGCCTTCCTGCGCACACAGGCACAAAAGGGAGCAGACATGCCCAGGAATACCTGAGACAAGGACACAGGGGGCACGAGCACAGCCTCCGCCCGCCCCACCCTGAGCACAGCCGGTCACCCCACACCCACAGCCAGCGGCGCAGGCTTACCTCGCACCCCGGGGAGGGGTGCCCTGAAGACCTGGCGCCGCCTCCGAGCAGCTGCGGCTCCTGCCCGAGCAGCCGGGGCTGGCGGGTCTGGCGGGTCTGGCGGGGCCGCAGCAGAGGCAGCTGCTCCTAGCAGACGCAGAGCAGCCTCAGCCGCAGGAGCCGCGGGAGCCGCGGGAGAGGCTGCCGCTGAGGGGGCGGGGCTGCGCGGCTGGAGGAGGGGCTGCAGGGAAGGGGCCGCCAGCCCTTCACTGGGGGGGGGCAGACACAAGGACCAGGGCACACATGTAGAGATGAATGACAGAGCCAAGCTCAGACACAGACATAGGGACACAGATGCAGACAGGAAGGTAGACAAAAGGACAAACACAAGAACACATGGTGACTCAGAACAGGCACATGGACACACACACACACACACAAGGACACAGAGACACACACACACAAGGACACAGACACACACAAGGACACAGAGAGACACACACACACAAGGACACAGACACACACAAGGACACAGAGAGACACACACACACACAAGGACACAGACACACATAAGGACACAGACACATACAAGGACACAGACACACACACACAAGGACACAGACACACATAAGGACACAGACACACACAAGGACACAGAGAGAGACACACACACACAAGGACGCAGACACACACACCCAAGGACACAGACACACACACACAAGGACACACACACACACATACAAGGACATAGAGAAGCTTGGTCCAGAGAAACGAGGAAGTGTACATGAAACACACAACTGGGACATAGCTATGGGGCCATGTCTGAAATGCAGAGACGCCTGGGAGGGGCTCAGAGCGCCTGTTTGAGGCTCCCAAGGGAGCTGAGCTACAGCGGGCCAGCAGGTGGCAGGGTGCCCCTTCTTGGCCAGCCTCGGGTGGATCAGTCTTGTTGTCAACAAGCAGGATACCTGGACTCTACTGTGTGTACCTGCTGTGTGCCCCACATGCCTCCAGGCTCCAAGCCAGTCCACACATGAACACATCCACCCGCGTCACCGGCACTGCTATCAGCATCGCCTTTGTGCAGCGAGAGCATCAGGACTCAGAGGTGTGAAGCCACCTGTCAAAGTGGCAGAGGCAGGGTTTGAACCCAGGTCATTCTGTCACTTTGAGGCACACTAAGGAGGTCTGCGCCACAGTTGGGCCCCAGAGAAACATCTGAGTATCCTTCTCTCATGCCTGGCCTCAGCCAGCACACAGCTGCCAGCCCCCTGGGACGCTCCATCCTAACACCAGAGTCACATGCCATGTCAGGAGCCCCTCAACTGAGTTGTCAGCCCCGCCAGGCATGGGGTCAGCCTTCCTGCACAGGCTCTGCCCACACATCCCAGACCCTGTCTGAGCCTCCGTCTCCAAGTTGGGGATGTGGTTGCTAGGTGACTGGTGCAGCGTCGCTAGGATATCTGGGGAATCAGAAGAGGGCAGTGTGAGCAGATGCCTCAGGACTCAGCATCCCAAGCTGTCCCCTAGGACCTGTCTCTGTATCTTTATAGCAGCTGACTCAGGGACACGTGTGGACTTGGGCACAACATACAGGCTCACATGTCTGCAAACAGGCACATGGGAAACACACAGACATGGGCACAGACACTCGCAGGGATGCACAAACACCTGAGCTTCATGCAAACCCATACGGCACACGGTTAGACACGAGAGAACAGGCAGGCAGAAGGTAACACACATGGGCACCATCCTCTCCAGGGGAAGCTTGGTCCTGCTGACTTCAGAGCCCAAGAGGCTCACCTCCTACAGCTGCCCCGGCTAGGCTCCCCACGGTCTCAGCAGCCAACCCTCGTCCCTCCTGCATCCAGGGAACCTCTATGGAAAGACGGGGGCAGGGATGGACAGTCCTTTGTGGAGCCTGGGGTGGGCTCCACAGCTCAGAATGTAGGGGCAGAGACTCCTAGTTCACCCTCACCAGAGGCCAGAGCAAGCTTGCAGCAATGGGGGACAATGAGCAGCCTTCCGCTGAGACCCCTCCACAGCCGGGTGCTACCCGCTGGCGGCTCAGGTCCTGCACTTCCAGTGCCAACGGCCCTCAGGACACATCTGTGAGTGAAGGTGAGAATGGCATAGGCACTGTGGCAGCCACCGATACTTGAACAAATTATGACTTAAAGCACTAATTTGGGCCCAACATAAACTGTGGGATGAGCATATGAATTAATGAATTCCAGAATAAACTGATGAGTGCATGAACAAATTACAGAATCAACTGAGATGTGAATTGGTTATACAAGAGTATGGAGAGAAAGGGCTCAGCGCCAAGGTCCTCAACTTGCCCTCAAAACTAGCCTCAAAGAGCGCCGGCAGGAGGCGGAGCGCGCCCGCACAGCGCCCCTGGTGCCCCAGGAAAGAGCTCGCGGGACAAAAAAGCGGGGCGCTGCCGTATCAGGTGGCGATGGGTCCGCTCACCCGGACCTCGGTTCTTCCCACGCCCCCAGGCTAGGGGCCACTCGCTGAGGCCGGGCTTGGGGAGGGGCGGAGCTCCCCGTTGCCGGGCAACCGCGCATCACAGTCCCGCGTGAGTTCAGGCTTCGTTGGAGGCTCAGACTCCCGAAGCCAAAATGTACGGGGTGTCGGAAAGGGGAGGGGGGCAGGACCTGGCCCGGGGTCTGGGGCCTGGGGCGCTATGGGCTGGACCCCGGGAAGGGAGGAGTCCTAGAGGGGAGACCTATGGACCCTGGTGAGCCCTCCCCCTCAATCCCCTCCTCCCTAGACCAACGGGGGGGCAGACCAGGAAGATGGGTCTCCCCGGAAGCAAGCCCGTGTCCATTGGGCTCTGAGCCTCCCCTGGGGCTCCAGCACTGGAGGCCTGGAGCCCAGAGGGTCTGCCAGCGAGGGTCTGCCAGGGACACGGTCTGCCAGGACACGGTCTGCCTGGACGGTCTGCCTGGGACAGTCAGCCTGGACGGTCTGCCTGGGACTGTCAGCCTGGACGGTCTGCCTGGACGGTCAGCCTGGGACGGTCAGCCAGGGACATGGTCAGCCTGGGACGGTCTGCCAGTGAGGGTCTGCCTGGGGCGGTCAGCCTGGGATGGTCTGCCTGGGACGGTCAGCCTGGGACGGTCTGTCAGGGATGGTCTGCCTGGGACGGTCAGCCTGGGACGGTCTGCCAGGGACACGGTCAGCCTGGGACGGTCAGCCTGGGACGGTCTGTCAGGGACGGTCTGCCAGTGAGGGTCTGCCTGGGACGGTCAGCCTGGGACGGTCTGCCAGGGACACGGTCAGCCTGGGACGGTCTGCCAGGGACACGGTCAGCCTGGGACGGTCTGTCAGGGACGGTCTGCCAGTGAGGGTCTGCCTGGGACGGTCAGCCTGGGACGGTCTGTCAGGGACGGTCTGCCAGTGAGGGTCTGCCTGGGACGGTCAGCCTGGGACGGTCTGCCAGGGACACGGTCAGCCTGGGACGGTCTGTCAGGGATGGTCAGCCTGAGATGGTCAGCCTGGACGGTCTGTCAGGCCTCCGAGAGGGTCGCACTGGTTGCGCCTTGGGTGGGGCCTGAGGGCAATTCAAGGGACACAGCATTTTCTCGGAGGACAGAGAAACAGCCCACGGGCAGGAGTGGAATTTCCTGCAACTCCCAGAAGAACAGAAAGTTCTAGCAGGCCTGACAGGCTGAAGGGTGCTGCTAGGCTTGGCCCGGCCGAGGCTGGAGGCCAGGCTTAGGGCGGCTTCGGGGCCTAGAGGGGGCGGCATTGCCCTCGGACGGCGTGCGGGCCGGTGACGGCGTCCTCCTCCCTCAGCGGCCGGGATGCCAGGGCCCGGGATGCCGGCGGCCGCGCCGGAGGCGGCGAGCAGGGAGCCGCTGGGGACAGCGGGGAGGGGCGCGCCGGGCGCCCCGCCCCGGGAAAAGCGCGCCCAGGGGGCACCGGCCAGGGAGCCCCCCGCGCCTGGCTGGGCTCTGTCCCTGGAGGGCCTGGAGGCCATGAGCCCCCAGCAGCGCCACCGCCACCTGCTCTTCGGGGACCTGCTTGAAGACGTGGGTGCGGCCGCCTCCATCTTCCCGCGCGAGTCCGCGGAGCTGGGGTACCGGATGCCCGACCCGCGGCCGTGGACACAGTCGCTGGAGCCGGCGGCAGCGCGCCAGGACCGGCTGCTCGGCGTCCTCAAGGCGGCCGAGGCCCGCGGCCGGGTGCGCGCCTTGCGGTTGCGCTACACCTACATGCGGGTCAGGGCGGCGGCCGCGGGGGGCGGGCCCGGAGGAAAGGGGCGGGGACAGCCCAATGGGGAGGGGGGGCCCTGCGGGAGCGGAGGGTGCGGGGCCCTGCGGGAGCGGAGGTGCGGCGGGCAGCGCTCGGGCTCAGGAGCCCCGCACGGCCGCCCCGCAGGCGGAGGAGATCACGCTGCTCATCCAGCGACAGAAGTCGGCGCGCGCCGCCATTCGGCTGGAGCTGTTCCTGCCGCCGCAGCTGAAGCCCACGCGCATCCCGGACCCTCTGGACCGCCAAGAGGTGCCCGCCGGCCCGGGGAGGGGCGGAGGGGGGCCGCCCGCGCCCTGCACACCTGGCCCCAGCCCCTCTCCCGCAGCGGAGGCGCGTGGAGACCATCCTGGAGGAGCAGGTGGACAGCAGGAACTTCCTGCACTGACGGCCTGGCGCAGGGCCGCGCCCCCTCCTCCCGCATAAAGTCCTCTTCTCCAACGCCTGTCTCTCTGCTGCCTGCAGCCCGGGGCAGGGGCCCAGAGCCGGCATCTCCCACAAAGCGGGGAGGTGCAAGGGAGTGGTGTCAGGTAGACAGGGACAGGGACACCCTAACCTGACAGTCCCCCGGCAGCAGAAGGGACGAGAGCCTGGCTCACAACAGGCACCGCTACAGGGAGAGAGGGCAGCCCCCACCCCGGCTGCAGGTCCCCCACGGAGGGGGGTTCAGAGAGCAAGTGACTGCACATGCCAGGCTGCCCTCGGGCACAGTGGCTGGCGGTCCTGGGGAGAACCAGAGGTGGGGAGGGAGGGGGCCGGCCCTGCACCTCTGGCTTTCCTTTCCATCTGAATGGCCGCCTCTGCCCTGTCCATCTCCCTGACCAGCGCACGCGCGCGCGCACACACGCACATGCGCACACACACACGGAAGGACACTGCCCTGTCCCATTTGGATGAACCCACATCCTGCAAATCTTCTAGATTCTGAAGAGCCTCCAAGTTTCTGGACAGACCTTGGAGAATATTCCTGCTGTTTGCAGAGCCCAGGACTTCCCTCAGCCCCCTTCCCCCCCTTCACCCCTCACCACCTCCAGACTGCAGTGGGGGCTTCAGGGACTGCACAAGCTCCACCCCCACCCACCTCCAATAGGCTGCAGTGCAAAGACCCTGGAGGGGTGCATTCTTTACTCCCTGGAGTCAGAGCTGGGGTCTGACAAGGAAGCTTGCTCAGTGGTCACTACCCCTCTCTAGCCCAGCTCAAGGGGGGCCCACTGCAGGTGGCCTGGGCCCTCTGTACTCCCAGCAAGCCCTCGCCCTGGAATGACCCTTCGCCCTCTCTGGGCTCTTGCTGCCTTTGGCCTGGATCACACCCAGGACTGTGTGTGGAGCTGGAGTCTGGAAACTCCAGGAGGGTGGGGAGTCCTGTCAGTGCTGTGGGAGGGAGGTGTTCAGGAAGGAAGAGGCAAGGAGGAAGGAGAGATGGACAGGGAGGCATTCTATCCGGGAGTGATGGCCGCTCACATCCTGACATGCCCTGGACGGCAGCAGCCCTGGCTCCGCTGGCCCAGCTCCCTGCAATGGGGACCCCAGTGTCTGTCTCCTGAGAATGTGCTGAGGGCCTAGGATGAGTCCATGTGTTAGTAAAAGCACATTTCATTCCATCGCTTCTCTGGGCCTTCATTTCTTCATCTCTACAACCGAGACCTCAGGAGCTCCGCTGGGTGCCATGCGGCCACACAGCACTACTCCACCAGGGAGGGCACTGCCTGAGGCAGGCACCAAGGGCGGAAGGACAACACAGACATGCCAAGCCCTAGGAGGCCAGCAGCAGAGCAGCCGCACAGGCGGCCGTACACCACAGGTCCAGCCGGCACTTGCCAAGGCGGGACCTAGGTCTGCAGAGGAGGCCGAGGGAAGCGCACAGGAAGGTGGCCGGGCCTGGAGGCGGCAGCTGCTATGAGCAGCCCGTGGACTAAGACTCAGTGTGTGGGGCTGAGAGGGATTGCAGGTTCCCAGGGCAGCAAACGTATGCTCTGGAAAGAGGGTGCTGAGTTCGAATTCCACCTCCACCATTATATATATATATATATATATATATATGTATATAATATATAGATAATATATATTAATAAAGATATATATAATCAATAAAGATATATGTATATATATATATCTTTATTGATTTCAGAGAGGAAGGGAGAGGGAGAACAAGATAGGAAACATCAATGATGAGAGAGAATCATTGATGGGCTGCCTCCTGCATGCCCACACTGGGGATCGAGCCACAACCGGTGCATGTGCCCTTGACCAGAAATGAACCCGCTGGCAGACACTCTATCCACTGTGCCAAACCAGCAAGGGCATCTGCTCCGCCATTTTCTTGAGTTTCTGCCCAGCCTGCCTGGGCTCCTCCATGGAATGTGGGGACCTTCTACAGACACAGACTCCCTGGAGGAAGTACAGGACACCCAGGAAGGCCGAGGGAAGGGGGTGGAAAGCAGGCCCAATGGCCAGAGGACACGAGGAGAGGCTCAAAGAGGCAAAGAGCCACAGCCAGCCGCCACCCATTTCTCAGGAGGGCGGAGCTGCTGCGCCAAGGGATCAGCCTGGCGGAGTGGCTCACCCAATACTGGCCTGTCTTTGTGGGACCTCCGGTCAGGACAAGCCCCTGGCCTCTGCCCCTGTCCTAGCCAGCCTGTCAACATGGGCCCAAGCATCACTCCAGGCTCTAGGGCCTGTCGCCCCTCTGCCCCCTCCCCTGCCTCTTCACCTCTCACCCAGGACACGCAATCTGCTCCAGGCCCGTCTGTCACCCCCCGCGAGGCCCACCGGAGGAGAGTGTGTGAAATCTGCACTTCCTTTCACACCTCGAGTTCTGGTAGCCTGTCCACGGACGACCTGTGCAACCGGAAGCCGTTTGGTGAGCAAGCCCAGCGTCGGAGCTGTGCTGGCTGCCGCCTGCAGGGCACCCGCTGGGATCAGGCCCCGAGCATGGGCGGGGCCCCCGCGACGCTCCCAGAGCGGGATAGGAACTGAACTGCCAGCTGTGCCAGCTAGAACGCCCGCCGCCGGCGGCCGTGGTGCAAACTGTAGGACACCTCGGGGCAACGTGAGGGGCTAGAAGGGACTCGGCCCAAGGCCCCACGGATGGGACATGTGATGACTCCAGATGCAAGAGCCCACTCCACCCCGCCCCGGCACCCAGGGCCCGCCCCTTCCTTGGTAACCACCAGAGACGGGGCTCGTCCCCTCATCTCACCGGGGCCGCCTGGCAGAGGCGGGCAGAGAGGAACGCGCGGCCTGGCGGGCAGAGAGGAACGCGCGGCCCCCTTCGGAGCAGCGTCCAGGCGCCCGCGTCAGGCAGCGCCGGGCGCCGGCCGAGCCGCCGGGCATCCCACAGCCTCCGCGCCTCCAGCCGCAGCCCGGGTGCAGGCGCGGGACGAGGGCGGGGCCGCTGGGCGCGGGGGCGGGGCGGGACCGCGGGGGCGGGCGGGCAGGGCTCGGAGGCGGGGCCGCGGGGGCGGGGCGGGCAGGGCTCGGGGGCGGGGCCTCGGGGGCGGGGCGGGCAGGGCGCGGGGGCGGGGCCGCGGGGCGGGGCGGGGCGGGGCGCGGGCTCGGGGCGAGGAAGTGCCGCGCTTTAGGGAAGCGCCGCGCCTGCGCACAGCACCCGCCGCTCGCTACGACGGCCGGCCTCGGCCCAGCGCGGGAAGCCCGGCGGTGAGCGCCCCGCGGCGCTGGCCCGTGGCCCCGCTCTGCGGCCGGGCGTGCGGCCGGGCGGGCTCTGGCTCCGCACCCCGAGGGCTCCGCGGCGGGTCCACGTGGCCGGGGCCGGAGGGACGAGTCCCCCACGCGCGGGGGAGGGGTGCACTCCGGTTCCCCTTTTCTGCAGCCGGAGCCGGGGAAGCGATTGCTCAAAGGGCCGGAAGAGCCGGGTTTCCGCGTCTCCCGCCCCTCGGCTGGCGGGAGGGCGGAGGCGGGACCCGCCGTCGGATCGGGCAGCTCCTCGGACCCGCGAACTCAGAAGAGGCGGCCCCCACCCCGATCGACAGGCCGGCAGCCGCGACTGGAGCCGCGGGAACCGCCGCCGCCGGCGCCCCCCTGCGCAGCCCGGAGCCCGAGCGCACCTGGCCCTCTCGCCTCGGGTCGCTGGTGAGTGGGCGCCACGGCGACTTCCTTGAGGTAGGGTGAGGGCCGCGGGTCCCTGCGAAAGGAGACAGGCTTTTCCAGGCCGGGCCCTCGAGGAGGGTCCCCGCCGCCGCTGGAAAGGGGGCTGGGGCGAGGGTCCCCGGGGTATTGGCCTTGGAGGAGCCAGCCTGGGGCTCCCCCACCAGCCTAATTGGGGGGGGGGGCGCAGCAGGGAGGAACTGTACTGAGTAGCATCCGAAGGGAATGGAGCTCGAAAGTGATGGCAAGTCTACCTAGAGCAGCACTGGCCGCCTGTCCAGCCTCCTTCATCCCAGAACGGGGAGGGGGCTTCCAGGGGATGAGGATGGGGAAGGAGCCAAACGCCCTCCAAATGCCCGGGTGAGGGGCAGGAACCCAGCCCGGAGGGAGGAGGCAGCCCAGGGCCTCCAGCCTGGACAGCAAGAACTCGCCCCCTTCGGCCCCGGGCCTGCGCCCTCAGAGGCCGCTCCAGTTCGGACTGAGTCGGAGATGGCAGCCCGCAGGTGCTGGGGGCTGGGGGACAGGACGAGGCCCTGCCCCGCTGCCGGGTGGGGTGCAGAGGAGGAAGAGCCGCTCAGCCTGGGGAAGTACAGCAGCCCGGGGTGCAGCAGGGGCCTCAGAGGCTGCCACACCCCTTCCTTTCCCTAGAAACCTGACCCTGAGGGGAAGGCTGTGGCTGCTGCTTCCCCATCTGCTTGCTGGGAACCCCTTGGACCAAGTTTGAATCCTACCCTCTACCCTGCCGTGACCTCGGGGTCCCAGTTATGGGGCAGGGCGGGGCCTCTGTGCCAGGCCCCGGAGACAGGGTGCCCTGAGCATGTGCGTGTGCCATCGCCTGCGCACCTCACACCGGGGCCAGGGCCTGCTCCAGAGCTGCTGGCTGGGGACTGCCAGGGCCTGTCCCTGAGCATCCACCCTCCTCTGGCCACAGCTTAGCACCCACAGGGACCACGAAGGATTAAAAGCCCCTCAGCTGAGTGATGAGAAAATCCAATGAAACCAAGTCGTGAGCCTCCTGCGGCTGAGGCCGGCAGGGGTGGGGGGCTCAGGAAGGTTTGCGAGGCAGGTGGACAGGGCTCCCAGGCCCTGTGGGCCCTCACCTGGACCAAGATGAGTGCAGGCAGGGGCTGTGGAGGGGAGACATTCAAAACTGCCTCCAGGGTGCCGATTGGCTGCCCTGTGCTGTCGCTTCCGAGGCGCAGTACTTGGGGAGCCACAGTCGCCTCCCTGGAGACACATGAGGGCTGCTCGGCTCCAGCCTTCAGGACCCCCCCTCCCCCTGCACACACACGCACTCCCTGCCAGAAAGGCTGCGGACACAGCCCTTGCCTCCCCGGGGTATCCCGCAGTTCCAGCTAGGGAGCAGGATCCCCTCCCCTCCCGCTGAGCCCCTGCACCGCTCACCCCACATGTGCCCGCTCTGTGGAAGGGGGGGTAGGGAGGCGGGGAAACCTGGGCAGTGAGTGGCCGGCTGGGGTTTGGGGCTACCAGGGGGGCCAAGTCGCTGAGGACAGAAAGCTCGTGGCTCTCCTCACCGTGAGCCCCACTCCCGCCCCTCAGGCCCGCAGGCTGCAGCACGCCCCCTGCCGAGTCCCAGTGACGGGGCAGTGCTGTGGGGCCCACGGGCAGATGTGGATTCCTGGTGGGAAGCAGCCTACTCACCCCCCCATATACAGCCTCCACAGAAACCCAGGACGGAAGGAGCTGGGATAGGGGTTCTGCATGTCTAACCACCATCCCTGTGCCCTCACTGACAGCCCCAGACTCTTGGGGCCCCCAGTCCCCTTGGGAGGGGCCAGGAGCCGGAAACCAAGAAAGAGGAACCCAGGCTTCCGGCTTCCCAGGGACCGAGCGGATGGGGGAGTCCCAGAGCCTCCTGTGGAGCTCTCCACAGCCTCGGGTCGGCTGGCAAGGCTGCAGGCAGGGGAGCAGGCCCTGCTGGGGCTCCAGGAAGGAGGGGCAGCGCCCCAGACCCTCCCGGGAACCTCGGGACCGGGGTCTCGGGTTCTCTGAGAACCGTGGCCTCTCCTCAGACCCCCAGGTTGTGGTCAGGGTCCCGAGCCGGCATCACGGAGCCCGAGCGACGACCTCCACCCACCCATGCCCACCGCGCATGAGGCCGAGAAGCAGGTGCACCTCCTCCACCCAGCCTCGCCCCCTCAGGGACCGGGGGGCAACGAGGAACTGAGGGACCCCCGGCACCAGGGAGCGTGTCCATCCGTGACTGAGGCGCCCGTCTCCCCCAGCACACAGGGCCCGCGGAGGCAGACCAGCCTCCCTCCATGTCCAGTCATGCGGGGGCGCCGGCTGCCCCCAGCCGCAGCCCCTGCTGCTTGTGCTGGTGTTGCTGTTGCAGCTGCTCCTGGTACGTGGGGGTGGGGAGGGGTGGGCTGAGCAGACCTGGGCCCAAGACCCCACTCCCTGACCCTCGTGTGGCTTCCGAGGCATCACCCGCAGGCAGGACACCTGCCACCCACAGCACATACCAAGGGCTGCTGGGTTCTGGTGGCTGGTAGCCAGTGCCCGGTGTGTGCCCTTTTATTCAGCCCACGCTTACTGCCACCACTGGCAGCCTGGCCTGCAGACCCACAGACTGTCAGTGGAGGGGGCTGAGCAGAGACCTGGCCTGGAGACGGTGGGGACAGACCCCCGGGGCTTGGGCGGCATCTGGGAAAGCTGTTGAGTTGTGTGCCTTTCAGAGGCCTGCCCCCCTCAGGCCTCCAGCCCTAAATTGTTGAGTGGACAGCACTGCAAGGAACGGGGGGGGGAAGGAGGGGGCCTGACCTGTGAGCAAGTGAGACGGGAGCCAGGCCCAGGATGGCTGAAGGGGGCTGGGGTGGGAGATTCTGAAGTTAGGACTCACTGCGAGCTTGGCTTTGGAGGCCAGGGCGGGTTTGGGGTCCGGCAGGCACCGCAGGTGCGGAGTTCACGTGGACACTTTGGTGTGAGGTGTCCGCAGCCAGGTGCTTCCCCACTCCATCAGCAGGGCCGTGGGAGAAAGCGGGTGAGGTCAGGCGGGGTCACTGGGAGCCCGTGAAGGCCCCAAGGCGAGAAGACACAGAGGTCTTGGGTCAAACGTAGCTGGAGCAGCCATGGTCCGGGGGCGGGCGGAGGAGCAGACCCTAGGGCCGCCACTGCAGTGGGCTCATAGTGCGGGAGCCCCAGGCCTCATGTCCACACATGCTGAGTGTCCACGTTCACGCACGGGCCCTCGTGTCTGCCATCAGGAGTGAAGGGCGGCGACCAGCGTGGCGGGCTTCCGGGGAGAGCAAGCTGCAGCCCCTCCCCAGCTGCGAAGCATGGTGAGTCGGGGCAGGAGCACCCGTGGGGGGCGTCCCGGGGAGCGGCACGGGCTTGACGTGGCGGGTGCCCCAGCAGCGCTCCGAGCCCCGAGGAGGTGCAGAGCTGGGCACAGTCCTTCGACAAGCTGATGCACAGCCCGGCGGGCCGCAGCGCCTTCCGGGCCTTCCTGCGCACGGAGTACAGCGAGGAGAACATGCTCTTCTGGCTGGCCTGCGAGGAGCTCAAGGCCGAGGCCAACCAGCACGTGGTGGACGAGAAGGCGCGGCTCATCTACGAGGATTACGTGTCCATCCTCTCCCCCAAGGAGGTGAGCCTGGACTCCCGCGTCCGGGAAGGCATCAACAAGAAGATGCAGGAGCCGTCCGCGCACACGTTCGATGACGCACAGCTGCAGATTTACACGCTCATGCACCGGGACTCCTACCCCCGCTTCCTCAGCTCCCCTGCCTACCGTGCCCTGCTGCTCCAGGGGGACCCCCAGTCCTCCCATGAGGCCTAGGCCACCCCCCGTGGGCAGAGACTCAGGTCACCTTCCCCATGTAGCAGGGGTGTGGGCTCACCAGGCCCAGCTCCCTGAGGGCAGGCCAGGAGCCCCCCCCCCAGGGCTAGTGCCCTGGGGTCCTGCTAACAGGACGGGTGCTGGCCGGCCAGGGGTTCCTGCCTGATGAGGGACAGGATCCACAGGCTCAAGAGGCCCGGGCCAGAGAAGCGGCAGTGACGGGAGAGGCCTCGCACTGTCCAGTGTGGGACTCGGCCGGGCCTTCCAGTGGAGCGCCCTGCTCCCGGAATCAGACCCGGGACCTCCACACTGGGCGCCAGGCGGCAGGACCCAGTTTCTCTCCTCTGTGCCCATTCACTTTGAATCTGGAAACATGTCCTCGCTGTTTTATAAGGAAAAAAGTTTTCATATTTATTCCATCCCACCTCCCCAACACAGGATATCTGTTATTGAAGATACTTTTAAAGCAAGTCTCCGCCTTCCTGTCCTCCGGGCGGGAGAGCAGCTGTCTGCTCACCCTCACTAAGGGCCCCACAGCACCTCGCCGGGACTGGCAATACAATGGCACGCTCTGCCCAAGCCTCGGGGGGGCAGGTCCTGGAACGCCGCAGGGGCAGCACCCATGGGTGGACCCCAGTGCCAGACACTGTTCATTCCCATCTCAGGAGGTGCTGGCCACTCGTCCCTGAATTTCTGGGACGCAAAGGGGTTCGATGCTGCATGTGGTCCGAGGCGCTGAGCTAGTTGGGGGACCTGCCTCCCAGAGCAGAGCAGGTGAAGACTGGCTGCTGGAAGGCCGCCTGCCGGCGGAGGCTGAGGGACCCAGGCTCGCCCTGGGCCCTGCCCAGGGGGGAGGCCGGGTCCTCTGTGTGCCCACGGCCCCCTCCACCCAGTCCCTCCAGCTCTGGGTCCCCCACCGCCACACCGTGTCCCTGACTCCAGAAAGGAGGGTTGTCCCCAGAGGCAGTGGGAACCCAACTCACAGCCCAAGCTCTGTGTACCACCAGAACCAAAGCCCGGGGCAGTGTGGTGGCAAAAAGAAACTTTAATAGTTTGGAGAAAGGTGCGCTGCAGAGGGGGGGCGGATGTCTGCCTTCTGGGCACAGCCAGGAAGGCACAGGCAGGGCTCCAGAGAGGCTGTGTCCACAGGAGGCGAGGAGGGGATGGCCAGCGCTGGCCGCCACTGCAGGCACATCTGCATGAGGGCTCAGCAGAACTACAAGGAATGGGGGACACTCAGCTGGGTGACCCTGAGGGCAGGCAGGGTCTCCCCCACCTCACCAGCACTCCCAGGAGGCTGGCTGAGCAGGGCGCCACCCGAGTCACACCATGCAGCCACCACACGGGCTCCCCACACACCTTCCAGCGGTTCCCACACTCATTGCAGACAACAAACGTGGTCATTGGCTCATCGGAGCTGCGGGTCTGCACCTGCGGGAGGCGGTGGTGAGTACCCACTCCGTGCAGCTGGTCTTCCCTGGAGTCACACCCAGAGGCCACCCATGCTGGCCTCGCGCCCAGGTCTCTGTGGCTCCCCCAGCGACCCTGCATGCTGCCCCTGCAGCGAGGCCTCCAGTCTGGGTGGGCTCTGCAGCCGCCACCAGGCCGCACAGCCCACCCCTCCCACCAGCAGCAACAGTCCTTGGGCCCCTTCAGGCAGGGCTGGGCCAGGCTCCCCAACTTTAGTCTACAGCAAGCAGGACCCACCCCTCAAGACACTGCTTACCTGGGCGAGGGGGAGCCCCAAACGTGACCACTCCCTGGCTTGGGCCCCAGCCCTGGCACCATTCACACCATGGGGTCCGGTGTTGGGGGGACCCACCCACAGGGCGCTCTGAGGGCGCTGGGTCCTGAGGGGGCCGCACACCTGCGTGTAGGTACAGTTCTTCTTCCTGCACTTGCTGCAGGTGAACAGGTCTGTCTGGGTGCCCCCCGTGCGGGCCATCTGGTGCTCTCGGATGGCCTCCTTGGTCATGGCCTTGCGGATCTCCTTCAGCTCATCACTGGCCATCTCCTGGGGGGGGAAGGTGCTTAGCTGTGCAGCCGGCCTGCAGGCAGCGCCCCCTCCCTGGGAGGGCCGGGGAGCACCTCCGACGTCATCACCGCGATCTGCTGGGGCGTGATGGTGCCACACAGCACGTTGCGGCGCAGGTCTGGGTTCTTGGCGTCCTTGAGGTTGGCGATGCGGCTCCGCACACGGTTCTTGTACTTCATGTCCGTGTTCCCCACGTCCCGGAAGATGCGTGCGGGCACTTAAGGACCCGCTGTAGGCTGAGGTTGCTGACCGCCACCCACCCCACTGGGCCAGGAAGGGCCTCCCGGGGGCCACCAGGGCAGGGCTGGGCTGGGAAGAGGAGCCCGGCACTCTGGGTCAGCCTGCTCCCCAAGTCAGGTGGTGAGCTGAGGGGCTGCTGGTGGCCCACCTGGACCCAGTCCTGGCTGGGTCCCAGCTTGGTCACCCACAAGGCCATGACCAAGGAGGCCCAGGCCGCAGCAGCGGCAGAATCAGTCCTCTGCAGGCTCAGGATGAGCCTGCCTCATCACCCAACGCCTGGCAAAGGCGCCAGGACAGTGGCCGCCAGGGGAGCTGGGCCTGGCGGGCCTGGTGCCACCAAGGACCCAGCCGGAAGCCCCGCACAAAGGATATACTCCTCGATCTGGGCCGACAGGCTCTCGCAGTCCGCGCTGATGGCTGCGTGGTCACCTGCAGGAAGCAGCTCTCCAGCCCCTGCTGGCTCCAGCCACCCCCTCGGCGCCCAGCACCCGGTGGCGGCGGTGGGTTGGGGACACTCACGGTCCGTCTGCAGGGCAGCCGTCAGCATCTCCCGGCACTTGTTCCGCACGGCGTCGCAGGTGACCGGCACCGGGGGGAACGTGGTCATCCTCGGGGCCGGCAGCACCCTGGGCAGCTCCAGCCTCTTGCGGCTGGAGAGAGACAGGACACTCGGGCCACATGAACTCATGAGACGCCGGTCACCGGAAAAGCCAACGTCAGAACCTGTCTCCTCTAAATGCCTTCAGCTCCACCCTGAGAGCAGCCAGCAACCCCATTGTATCTGCGGTCTGCCCCCTGTCCAGAGGTAGTGAGGCCTGCTGGGTAGGGTGCCCCTGACAGGGCGCTGGGGGACACAGCACACCCCGGGAAGTGCAGATCATGGGGCCACAACACCCAGCGGCCTGTGCCAGATCGAGGGGAGGCAGGTGGGGTCGGGTGTCGCCAAAGCCAGGTGCCCCCCAGCACTGCTGCCCTCAGGGCTGGGAGCCCTCCCTCAGGCTCAGGCCGTGACCCCACAGGGAGGGAGAGGCCACAGCGAGTGCTGCAAGTTCAGGGTGTGCAGCCTGAGGACCAGACCAAGCACGGCCTGCAGCCCGCTCAGGGCACAGCAGCTCTTTGCAGCCAGGCCCAGCCGCACCTGCGATGGGGGCTGAGACGGGTCCAGAGGAAGGAAGGGAGGCACCGACAGGCCAACCAGGCGGCCTGGCTGCTGGAGAGCCCCTCCCCCTTCCCCTTCCTTCACGTGCCCTCCACCTGCCAGGGCGGACGCCTCCCCAGCTTACTACCTGGAGTCCTTGGCCTCGGAGCCCTCCTTGGAGGATGTGGGCAGAGGCCCGCCCCTCCTCCGGTCCCTGGCTTTGGCATCTGAAGCATCTGCAAGTGCCAGAAAGGAGGGGGTGTGGCTAGCAAAGGGCAGGGCCAGGCCAGGGGGGAGCAGATCATCACCAAGGCACAGTCTCAGGCCGCTTGCCAGCCGCCCGCCCCCGCCCCTAGGCCCCAGTGCTGAGCCTTCTTGCTCCCTGCCCAGCCTCAAGAAGATGGCCCCACACCTTCCTCATGCACGTCCCCCCTCTAGCAGGTGCCTGTGGGCCTTTCTGGGGTCCCCCAACTGCCTGTCCTGCTGGAGGAGACTGCCATCCACCCACAGTGATTCCTGTACAGTCTCCCTCACACATGCGCGCACACACACACACACACACACACACATACACACACACACACACACACACACACACACACACACGGACAGTCTCTGCAGGTGAAGCATTTGGACTTGGACAAAGCTGAGGCAGGACTGGGAGTGAGGGCACTCCCCAGCTGGACCTCGGGCACCAGCGAGGCCCCTCCCCTGAGCGCACCCTGCTAGGCTCCGGGGACACTGGGCTCCTTGGGACCTTCTCGTGGGATGAGGTTCCCACCCGCCATCAGGCCACGGGCCAGCGGAGGCCCAGGACACAGGTCTGCCCTCTGCAGGCTGGGGCAGCGCAAAGGCAGGAGCGGCTCAGGGCCCTGCGGCGGGCACCTCTGCAACACCAGCGGCTCCTCAGTCCCCAGGAGGCGGCCCCAACCCCTCTGAGGGGGACCGCCCCCTTCCCCTGCCACCTCCCTCCTCTTCCCTCCTTTCCTCCCCCTCCCTTCACCCCTGCCTGGGTGGTTCCCTGTCTCCTGCCCAGCTCTGCACTCGCCTCCACTCTCCCCTCTCCAGGCTCCACACAGCAGCCCGCCCCGCCCTCGTCCCTCCGCCCCTCCCAGGTGGCTCCGCCTGGGGACAGGCCGCTGACTCGCACCCAGGAGCTTCTTCCAGGACTTGATGAGCGACTTGGCCAGTGCGATGACCTCCTCATCCGAGCTCTGCTTCCGCAGGGCGTTGACGGACATGCCGACCCGGGTGGACTGCAAGGCAAGCGTGTGGGCTGGGCAGCCGCCATCCTCCTCACAGACCTCGGAGGCCTCCCCAGGTGGGGCTCAGGGAGGGGACACTCCAAGGGCTGCTTCCCCGTCCCCCGTGCCTGGACTTGGGGAGCTCAGTGTGAGGGCAGGTGGAGGTGGGCCACCCTGTCCAGCCCATCTCAGAACAGAACAGGCAGGGACGGTCCCCTTGGGAAGGTCTGTGCTGACCAAGGACGGGGCCAGGGAGCCCTGCGAGGTGCAGGCGCTGGCCCGGAGCTGTCCTGAGCAGGGCACGAGGGCCTACCTGAAGCAGGTGCAGCGTGACCGGCATGGCCTTCAGCTCCCGCAGCAGGTCCACGGCTCCCTCCTAGAAAGGGGGGTGCCTCATGAGGACGCCGAGGTCGCGGTGCACGCCCAGCCCTGACACGAGGGGGGACAGGGCAGTGACGATGGAGAGCACCTGGTCAGGTGCCGGGGAGGCACTCACCCAGCATCCAGGTCATGTGACTTCTCACCCAGCCTTGACCACTGACCAAGCCAGGACGACGGGAAATGCCTGGGGCCACAGCCAGGTGAAGGGTGGCCCAGGTGCCTCTTTCTAGCGGCCCACTCCCCTGTGAGAGGGGTTGACCCAGGACCCAGGGCACCTTCACCACACCCACCCCAGCGGGCACAATCCTCAACCCCACTCACCCTCGTCAGTCTGCAGGACTCTCGCAGGCCCTGACCAGCCACCCGCCCCGCCTGGATTCCAGACCCCGGTCTTTCTCTGCCTCACCCCCACCCCCCTTCCGTTTTCGCAAAGCCCTCGGGCGCCTCCAGGAGCGAACTGCTATTGCCATACAGGGCCATGGCTCCAGGGTGCCCTCCCTCTCGCCACAGCTGTTCACGTGACACCTTCTCAGCATCCTTCTCCCTGCTTCTCTTCCCTCCAATTCTCATCAGCGAGGTTTTTGTGTGTCTCCCCTGACGTAAAGGGGCAGAGATGACCCCACCTGGCCACCCAAGCTTGTGAGAGCCTCCGATGTCCCAGGTCATGGGAGGGCTTGGCCCACCCCCACCACCAATCTGGGTGGCATCTCTGCTCAGGCTGCAGCCCTGGGTGATCTCCTCCAAGCAGTGCCACTCACTGCTCATCTTCCCCTGACAGAACCTCAGGCTCCAGAATGCCAGCTTTCTGGGGCTCCAGACCAGAGACACAAGCTCATTCCTGACATCCCAAGCAGGGCCCCAACACCCACAAGGGCTTTGTGGGCACTGGAACCCCCAAGAGCCTTTGTCAGCTCTCATCCCCACTGCACAGCACCCAGCCCACCACTCACACGCTGCGTTCACTAGCCTCGCTGCTTCCCTCACTGCTCCCTGAGGCTGGGGGTGAGCATCGCTCCTCCCTGCACACCCTCCCCCGTCCTGTAGGGCCCCACCCTGCCCTGCATGGGTTCCAGGACCCTGCCATCCCCCGCTGGGGGTGTTTATTAGTCGTTTTGTCTCCTTCACGAAAAATAGCTGCGTCCTCTGGTCATCTCTGGAAAGGGACACATACCATTCCCACATTCCTGCTCGCTGCCCACTACCTCCCAGGGGTTTGCACATAGCGGAGGGGATGCGGCTCCTGGCAGGGTGAGCGAGAGAGTGGGAGCCAGCCCCTTTCCCAGCAACCAGGTCAACCAGGGACCCACATGCAGCCCTGCTCAGCCCAAACTGTCAGTGCAAGCACCGGGCCAGGATGATGCAGGGATTGGAGCCCAGGACCTCCCCTGCTGAGGTCACCACTCCGCCTGGACCCAGGCGCTGGGTGAGCGGACAGCGGGCCAGCCAGGGCCCTCTCCGCCCACAAGGCTGCCGCGGAAGGCATGCAGGGTACCGAGGCCTCCGAGCTGGTGGAACCCCATCTGCCCGGCCTCTGGCGGCAAAGGCTCCCGGTGGCAGAACAAGAGGCCAGGCGCCCGCCAGGCTCCGGACCTCGGAGGGCGCTGCCTGGAGGCTTCTACTGCCCACCCACTCCCGGCTGCTGCTGGCCGAGTCCTGGCTAAAGAGGGGAAAGCATTTATTAAGGAAACCTGGTTCTTGTGCGGCGGGGACAGGGAAAGGCCTGTGGCCGCTCCTGGAAGGTGACCATGAGGGCCCAGGCCCGCAGGCATCCAGGGATCAGAGGCCCATCTCGCACGCCAGTCTCTCGGAGGCCGGAGTGGGTGCGGGACAGGGATGCAGTGAGGTCGCGGACCGGAGGGGCGGGGCCGAGGGAGGGCGTCGCGGGCCCCGCAGTTGGGGACTTGCAAGGGGCGGAGGCCAGGCCTGCGGGATCTCAGCCTGCCGTTGGGGTCTGAGTCCGGAGCGGCGGCTGCGGACATAGTCCAGGCCTGATCGCGGCCTAACTGGGGGTGCGGGGGTGATGGGCAGGGCTGGCCCGGGGCAGGGGTCTCGGCTCGGCCACCGGCGGGGTCTCGTCCTGCCCCTCGGGTAGTCTCCCGGGCCCTGATGGGGGCTCGGCGGGCTCGGCGGGAGCTCGACGGGGCTGGGGTCCCGGGGTCCTGGCGGCCCGCGCCCCTCACCGCGGTCTTCTTGGTCACCATCTTGTCCAGCCTCCGGGCGATGCGCGTAATCTCCTCCTCCTTGCCCATCATTGCCTCAGGGGCAGCGCCCCCAGCGCCCGCCGCGCCAGCCTCAGCCTCTCGGCCCAGACGCCAACCCCCGGCCGTCACCGCCTCCCGCACCCGCCGCCGCCGCCGCAGCCCTGCCACGGGAGGGAGACCCTCTATTCAAACCCTTGGCCCCCGCGCCCGCCGCGCTGCTAACTGGGACGTGTAGTTCTCACTCCCGCCCGCCTCGCGGGCGCTCCCCTCGCTCTGGACCACAACTCCCAGGAGCCACGCGGGTGCGCACTGCTTCTTGGGAATTGTAGTCCTGACGCTCGCAGTCATGGCAGACTTACGGAACCAAAGGACTCGCAGTCCCATGAGCCCCCGTACGGACCAGTTAGCCGGTGGAGGGCGCTGCTGTGGCGCGTGGGGCTACGACGTGAGTACCAGCTGCGGCTTGGACCCGAGACGTATCCCCATCCCCCGCAATCCTTCTCCCTGAATTGGCCAGGGACTCACTGCGCGGGAGACTCTAAGGCCAAGGCACCTTAGAGTCCTTCCCCTCTCTCCACCCCCTCTGAGCCCTCCTCTTCCACCACCCGCTGTGGCAGGGCAGCCGCATTCTGACTCTGGTGCCCAAGAGCCAAATCCTGCAGAAGATGCCCGGAGCGCTCAGCTCCGGATTTGGGCCTCTAAAGCTTCGTGCAGGGCGCCGCCTGGAGTGCCGAGGGAACAGTAACAGGCTCCGGAGTCTGGGAGAGGCATGAGCAGGGTGGGATTAACAAGACACCAAAGGCTGTGTGGCCAGGGACCCTGGCTGCCACTTCAGATAGTCATTGACCACTTTGTGCCTCAGTCTTCCCACCTGTGAAATGGGATGTTGATAGTATCTACCTCACTGGGCTGCTGTCAAAATACTGTGAGCAGATTCTCATCATGCACTGAGAACAGGGCACAGGAGAGAGCATGAGCAATTAGGCTGTCACCACCTTTGCTGCTGGAGCTCCAGGGGAAGGGCCAGACTGCGCTGAGTTGAAGGGATGACCTAGCCCAGCGGAAGATTGGGGAGGAGGGGAGAGACAGGGTCAGCATCTCTACCAGATGTCTACCACCTCCTCAATGATACAGATGCTGGGTGATTTGCTGTAGGGGGCACAAGCTTGGGGGAGAGTAGAGGCCAGGGGACTGAGGTCTATAGTATTGTGGGCCCACAGTCACTAAAATTCAAGTCAAGTAACTGTGAGGCCAGATGGAAGACGGAATGTTCAGATGACACCAGCTGACCATGACTTAGCTATAACTGAGCTTCCCAGCAGCCAAAGTGAAAAGGAAAACAAAGGTTATGAAATTCTAGGGAAAAGCATGGAATTCCTCATAGGGAGCAAAGGTTTTCCAGTGTAACAGGAGAACACAGCAACCCCAATTTACAAACCAGCACTGATCCTGGCCCTCGCGTGAGCCTGGGCCATCGCTCTGAGCCCCGCCCATCTTGAGGCCAACATCTGGTAAGAGAGTGTGTGCAGCCTTTGAGGGTCCAACAATACCAGTGACACCAAGGAGATTGGAGCCACACCCCCTTCAACCCCTCCACAGAACACAGCTGGCTAAACAAGGCGCTGGCAGGGACCTGTACACAGGACCCAGCAGTAGCCCCGGAGGACCCTGTCCCAGAGGTCAGGCTTCCAGGTCGGAGCCGCCTGCACACGCTGGAGTTCAGGGCTCCCGTCACAGGCCCCTACTTGTCCTGCCCATTTCCTTGGGCCATCTCCCACAGGGATGTGTCCACGAGACTGCCCAGCCAGGCCCCCCAACAGGCGGGGTAAGTGGATGGAGAGTGCTCAAAGGGAACTCCCCTTCAGGCTGGCACCACTTCGGAGCCACCACGCCGGGGGTCCAACAAAGGCTGGAGCACAGGGAGAAGTAAACCCACTGGTCAGCGGAGCAGCCGTCTGCCTCTGAGCAGGAAGGTGTGTCCTAGAGACCTCAGAACAGCTTAGGTCCCTAAGAGTAGAGTCAAAAGGAGAAGCTGAGGCCAGCCACTGTGGCTCCATGGCTGAGTGTCAACCTATGAACCAGGAGATCAGTTTGATTCCCGGTACATCAGGACACATGCCCAGATTTCGGGTTCAATCCCCAGCGGGGGGCATGCAGGAGCTCATTACTGATGTTTCTTTCTCCCTCTCCCTTCCTCTCTGAAATCAATAAAAACATTTTAAATTTTTTAAAGGGAGGGGATGAGCACAGGCCTCTCGGGAGTCTTGCCTGGGATGTCGCCTGGGCGTCAGCACAGCCCTTGGAGCAGGCTGCGGCCAAGGAACCAGCCTCAAGGCCAGTCCCCACCTACTCTCCCCAAGGGCCGCGGCAGCACAAAGTGCTGGGGAGAGCGCGGCCGCCGTGCAGACACCCGCAGAGCCAGCCCGAGGGCTCAGCCTGACCTCCCTGGGTAGGCCGCCCTGGCGAGGGACGGTCTCCAGCATCCTGTGCGAGGGGCTTTGCATAAGGGACACTGCTGTGCGTTTAGCGGCCCTGAAGGCTCGCTAGTGCAGCCCTGAGTATCCGCTCGTGCACGAATGCAAGGTCACGGAGGAGAGAGGCACTGCTCCCTTGCCAGCCAGAGTGGGAACCCAAACTGTGTGCCCACGGCCCTCCGTCTCCGTGAGAAGCCGGGGGTCCCCACCTTGGGGGTTGGGGGCACAGAGACAGCTTGTAGGAGCAGGTGTGTCTCAGTGCATCAGAGGCCCACTGACACTGCAGACCGCGGAGAGCCAGGCGCTGCGGCCCCTCCAGGGTGATGGCCCAGAGGCGGGGCCGCGGCGGGAGGCGTGCCCAGCAGGGGCAGCCTGTGGGGCTGAAGCGGGCATCCAGGGAGATGGCCCAAGGAAACGGGCAGGACAAGTAGGGGACAGATGGCTCCAAGCCGGGGGCCTGGGGACCACAGCCCTTCCCGTGAAGGAGCCCTGAACTCCAGCGCCTGCGGGCGGCTCTGACCTGGAAGCAGTCGAGGCGGGGCAGTGTGGCCCTGTGTAGTGAGCCAAAATCCAGGGTCCGGGTGGGGTGACCCTGCTCCAAGGCAGCATGAGCAGTGGCCTCTAGGTGGCAGGAGTGAGCCATGGACCGGACCTGCCTGTCAGCCAGGCGCGCACCTCCGCTGAGTGGCCGCCACGCTGAGGCAGCCAAGTGGGATGTGGTCCGTCCTGCAGGCGGCCTTCCCTCGTGGAGGCTGAAGGTGGGTCCCACCCTCACCAGGGCTCAAGCTGAAGTATCACTGGCCAACCCCCAAACTCCCAACTCCCCACCCGAGAAGTCCCTGTCCGTGGGCCCCTTATGAGTTCATGACCCCCAGAACCTTGCTCACCTCCGACCCCTGATGGACCTTACCCGACCTTGGGAACTCCCTTCTCCAAGGAGCTTCCCCAACATGCGCCCGACGGGGAGTCTGATGCGGACCCTGCCTCCAGGGGCTCTGAGCGGCCACAGCCTCGGCGAGTGCTTCACCGCCAGCTCCCACCTCATTCCGGGCTGGGTTTGGAGCCAGGAATGTGTGGATGTGGGGAATTGAGGTCTCCTTGTTAGAAGTCAAAGGTTAAGAGAAGTAAGGGATGGGAGACAGCACACTTGCCTCTTAGAGTTTCCAGCCAGTCCATCAGCCAATCACCTTGGCCCAGGTCCAGACCCCTACCCCATTCTATTCCAGAAAGCCCACCTCGGGGCTCTCCCTCAGCTCCCACGTGTGCCAAGGGGCGTGCATGGACAGATACACACCCCCAAGCCCAGGCCTGCCCCCTCCCCCCACCGCCGGCTGCCCTCCCCTCGGGATTGTATCCTCTCCAGGCCTTCCACCCTCCACCCCTTCCCTGAGAGGGACGGGGTGACCTCAGCCCTCTGTAGGAGGCCCACTCTGTCCAGAGGCCCACTCTGTCGGAGAGGGCCCAGAAATGGCCCTGACAGGAGTCTGGGGACACCCCAATGACACCCTAGGGTCCATTCCACACAGGCCCCACACACCTTTAGCCCAGAGCCTGCTCCTCCCGTCCTCAGCCCACAGAAACATCGGAAGCTCAGGCCATTTATTTTTCTATTTGTGTCCCCTGCCCCCGCCTGCCAGAAGCCGCCGTGACCCCAGCCGGAGGCATCCGTGCTTCCCTCCTGGCGGGGCGGGCCTTGGTGGGAAGGCCGGGGCTGCTACGCTCACAGGCCTCGGTCCTGGCCGCAGGCAGGCAGGGCTCTTGCAGCCCAGGAGCACGCCATCCCTGCCCTGCAGGCAGCTCTCCCGCAGCACCCTCAGACCCTCTGCCCTCCGGGCGGCCACAGCTCCGCACAGGGGCTCCGTGGGACTAGGAACACCTACTCCTCTGAGGTCCGGAGGGCAGCGGCCGGGGTGTGGGTCCTGGAACCAGTGCCTGCCGGCTCTGCGCGCAGCCTTGCTGGGCCTCGGCCTCCCAGTCTGCAGAATGGGAAGAGCCACCTGCCCAGAGCAGGCTCTCTGGAGTTTCCAGCCAGCCCATCGGCCAATCACCTTGGCCCAGGTCCAGCTTCCCACCCCCTCCCCCTCTACGCCGTCCCACCGCAGCACTCGGAGGGAGGCAGCATCCCCTAGAGGCTGGTGGCTGCTCAGGCGGCTCCAACAATGCTTCCCCCACACAATTCCCAGAAACGCGCCCTCCCTGCCCTGCCAGCCCGCCAGCCGGCGGCCACTCCACCTCCCCTCGCCCTCTGTCCTCCCCTCTCCCTCCCCAGGCAGCAGCAAGTGAGAGCTATGGGTGAAGGAGGAGGTCAGCAACCCTGGGCCCAGGCACACAGCCCTGCCCTTCTGGAGAGAAGTGGAGGGGCCTCGTGAGGGGGGTTGGGGGCGAGGGGACAGGCCTGGGAGGTGGCCTTGGCCAGGCCCAGACCCCTGCCTTTGTCACCGACTCCACAGGGCGCTATGCTGGCTGTGGAAGCTGTCAGGTGGCAGCCCTCTTCTGCTCAGAGCCCCCTGCCCCACACAGCCCCTCCTGCTCTCCCACGGCCGGCCCGTCCCGCCCGGCATGCGCCCACGCTGGTCCCTCTGTGTGAGCACTCCCCTGAGATCCCTCATGACATTCACGTTTCCTTCAAGAAGCAGCTCAAGAGTTGCTTCACAAAAGCAGTGGCACCCGGACACAGCCCCTCTCCTCTGAGCGGCGCCTTCCCTGGAGCAAGCACAGCCGGCCCCATGTCCGCACCTGTTCGCAGACTCCCTGATCGGCTCCCTCACGGGGAGCTCCCCCGGCAGAGACTGGGTCTGATGTGTTTGCTGCCAAGGCCCCACTTCCTAGAACAGGGCCTGGAGGGACAGAGCAGTCAGTGGTGGAGGCCTGGGCCCTGGCCTGAGCGAGGAGGGGGCGTCCCTAAGAGCGCAGCCCAGCCTGTCTGACAGCCCCCCGCCGCCATCACAGCCGCCGGTCACTACGGTGACCACCTCGGGGCTCAGCTCCTTCTTTCCCTGCTTCCCAGGGGCTGAGGACTGTCGCCAGGACCTCCTGGGAAATGTGGGGCCAGGCCCGCCAGGGGCCGCTGCTCTCCCGGGGCTGGGATACCCACGTGTGCCACCACACGCCCCCATGCAGGGCAGACCGAGAGCCACGGAGGGGAACAGGTACAACTCCTGCAGAGCAGGCAGCTCAGAGCCAGACGCAGGGCCCTGAGATCTGAGGAAAGAAGCCGCACCAGCAGCTGCTTGTGCCCAAATTGGGTGGCACAGGGTGGAGCCAGGGGCAAGAGCACCGGACGATGGTACAGACAGTGTCTGGCGCCTGCTTGGCCAGGCCGGCCCTCCGGCTCCCTCGCCTCAGCTGCAGCCTTCCTTCCTGAGCTCGTGTTTCCTGGCTCCTCCCTACTGTTGCCAAGGAAACCTAGAGCCACCCATCCCCAGCCTAGTTCCCATGGAGCCCTGCTGAGCAGAGAGGGGGCCACACAGCATGCAGCAACAACCCAGGACACACAGCCACATGGGCCCCCAAAGGCTTACACAGCTCAACACCCCGACTCCTGTTCAGCGCAACACCCACGAACACTGCACCCCCACCACGTGTGCCCTGACCCAGCCGTCCCCAACTGTCTGCCACCTCCAGCTGCTCTCACTCCAGGCCCCCCAAGGCCTGTGCTCCCACCCCCACCCCCCTGCCCAGTCCTGCTGGCCCGGCAGCATTCAGCCAGATCAACACCCTGCACAACAGCCCGTGTCCCCACACACCGAGGCCCAGACAGCCCACACCCTCTGCTCCCCCAAGGCTCAGATCTCAGCCGTCCTGCGCCCACCGCCACTCGGACACCAGTCCCACACCCGCAGCTCTGCCCGGCTGCAGGCCCGTGTGCCTGGGAATCACAATGACCCCACACCAACCCACTAGAGAGCTGCCCCGCATCTTGCCCCCCACCCCACCCCCGCCTCCCAAGGAGAGGCCCACGGTGCGGGAGCCAGCACCCGGGAATGAGCAGGAGGACCCGCTGGACATGGCCCGAGTCCAACTGGGCCTGAGCGGCCACATGTGCCCTCTTGCTTCCAGGTCGCCGGGTGGCCTGCCAGAGGCGTGTCCCCACGCAGAGGCCCAGGCTGGCCTCCCTCCTCCTCGGGGTGCAGCGCAAGGACCAGCAGGTGGGCCTGGCCAGGCCTGCAGCCAGGTCTCAGGACAGGAGGCGGGATCTGAACTGGGGAGCCGGGCTCCTAAATGGAGGTCTCAGGACCAGAGAGTCCCCTCCGCCTGGTCCTGGATCCAATGGGACCCACTCCACCCTCTGGCGCAGGAGGGCCCAGCCCACAGGCCGGTAATTGGTCCCAGCTTGCTGCTCCTGCGGCAGGGCTGTGCCCCGGGCAGTGCCTGGGAGGTCTGCCACCCCCCGAGCCCAGCCAGCCCCCACAACAACCAGAGGGGGTTACCCAGCATCCTCTGCAGGCTTCACCAGAGGCTGGGGGGTCCAGTCCAGGCTGAGGGAGGGAGCGAGCAGAGGGCAGCAGAGCAGTGTCTACACGACGTGCAGGCCAGCCACACACGTTAGAGAGCTTGCCCTCCACTGTCCCTTTTGTCTGGGGAGTTAGGGGCCACACACAGGGCCCCCCAAGGGTGGGCAGCAGCCAACTGAGTCTCAGGCCAGCCTGGGGTGGGTCCTGGAAGCATAGGAACGCCCCCAAACTCATTATCACCCACACTTTGGACAGAGCAGGGACCACAGCTTGGCGGCCAGAGAAGTCTTGGGGACCCCCTGGTGGGTGCTGAGGGCAGGACCCCATTCTAGATCCTGTTCAACCTCCAGCACTAGAGCCCCCCTCGCCCCAAACCCAGGCTGTCACAGCAGACCACACACAGCCCAGACCCCACATCTGAGCCCCGCCCCGCCCGCCACACACAGCCAGCCACACCCACCAGCCCGGCAGAGCCCTGGGGAGTCCTCGCCCCATTGTTCTCCCATTTGGACAGTTGGGCCTGAGGGGCCAGGCTGTCCACACCCTTGCCAGGCAGCTCAAAGGAGAGAGCAGTCAGACCCCCAAAGAGGTAGGGGGCACCCGGGAGCTCTCACCTTGCCCTGACCAGTCCCACCCATAAGACGTGACATCCAGACACCGGAGCTGAACAGGTGGACCAAGAGGGAAGGTTACTGGCTGGGGCGCGGCGAGGCCTGGCGAGGGGCGAGGAGATGCCAGGCTGCCTCAGAGCAGCTGGACACCTCTGGGCTGTCAGGGCAGCAGGTGTGTGTGTGTGTGTGTGTGTGTGTGTGTGTGTGTGTGGCAGGGCCCCTTCAGGAACTGAAATCCTTTCACAAGAGGGGGGCGGGGGTACTGCAGTGGGGGATCCCAGATGCCTCCTTTCTGAACCCCAATGACCATTGTTCCAGAACAGCTGCTGCCAGGCCAAGCCAGACCTTGGAGACCCTGACCACACCCAGAGCCTCCACCAGACAATGACCCCTCAAACCCGCCCTTCCACCTGGAGGCTCCTCCACTCCTGCCCACAGGGCTCACCCCTCACTGTCAGAGGGGAGCCGGCCCCACTGGGAGGGGCTGTGCACCTGTCCACCAGGGCCCTCCGTTCTGGTCTGCCTCCCAGGGAAGCCAGTTCCTCAGCTGCCTGAGCATCGGCTGGGCGCAGGTCCTGGACCAGTGGCTGGGCCTGGGACATCAGAGCCAGCCTGGAACTCCGCCCTTCACTCCTCCTCTGGCTGTTGGATGAGACCCTACAGGCCCAAATCACCAGGGCCCTCAGGGGACCCCCGTAGGGTCCTGGGCAGCACGGCCTTGGGGGAGCCGTAGGCCCAGTGGGGTCCCCCCCAGTCAGAGGGCAGATTGCATATGGCCCAGAGGGGCCACCAGGGACAGAGCTCCCACACCTGGCCAGGGCTCCTGACACCCTGGGGGGGGGGAGGGCTGCGCAGGAGAAACAGCGGGAGCCTGCGCTGCCTGGGATCCTTGCTCCGCCCTCAACCGACCCCCCCTCAGCAGGACCCAGTGGGAAGACGATGGGGAAGACCTCTGGCTCAGAGCCCAGGCCCCTCCTGCCAGGGGTGAGGGGTTGGGGGGACAGGGGGGCTGGTAGGAGGGCCCCCCCCCACCTGCCCAACCCTGGGTCCCCCTCACTCTCCTCTGCTGCCCTGGTGGCCTAGGTGGGCAGGTAACCAGCTGGGCTGGCCCAGGCCCACCCCGCACCCAGCAGGCGGGGAGGCGGCATGAGGCCCTTTGCCCAGGTGTGTCCTGTTCTGAGTGGGTTTGGGAGGGGGAGGGGGACGTAAGGACCATCTTCCCGTTAACCCCACGGACAAGACTGAGTCCCGTGCGTGGAGGGCCGCGGACATGACACCCCTGTTACCGGAGGGCGCTTCTCACCTTTGAGCTAGGCTCCGGGAGGAGGACACGGGCAAGCGCGGCCCTTCCTCCAGGAACCTGGGGCGGGCAGCCCCTCCCGTTACCCCGCGGGCGGCTCCGTGGGCGGGGCGGCAGCTCCTCTGAACAGCCGCCAGCCCCGACGGCGCCCCCAGCTGCGGCCACATCAGTGCCCTTCGCGTTGGGGTCTCTCCTCCGAGCCGGGCGGGACGCGCCGGGAGGGACAGCGAGCCCGGGAGGGGGCGGCCTCGGCCCGCCCCGGCCCGCCCGCCGCCCCGCCGATTGGCCCCGGGCCGCTATATCTGGGCGCCGCCGCGGAGCCGCCGGCCCGCCGGCCGCCCGCCCGCCCGCCGCGCCCGCGCCCGCTGGGATGCAGAGGCCGCCGCCCGGCCAGGCCGCGCCGCACCGCCCGCCCGCCCGCCGCGCCTGTGCGTGGGCCCCGCCGCCCGCCGCGCCCGCCGCGCCGCCCAGCCCGCCGCGCAGCCCCGAGCCCGGCGGCTATGGCCTCGGCCCGGCCGGCCGCGGCGAGCGCCTGGCGGCCGACGAGCTGCGCGTTCGACGGCCCATGAACGCCTTCATGGTGTGGGCGAAGGACGAGCGCAAGCGGCTGGCGCAGCAGAACCCGGACCTGCACAACGCGGTGCTGAGCAAGATGCTGGGTGAGTGCGGGCGGGCTCCCGGGGGCGGGGGCGGCGGGCTCCCCGGGCGGCGGGCTCCCGGGGCGGCGGGCTCCCGGGGCGGCGGGCTCCCGGGGCGGCGGCGGCGGGCTCCCCGGGGCGGCGGGCTCCCGGGGGCGGGGGCGGCGGGCTCCCGGGGCGGCGGGCGCGGGCCCCGGAGTCCCCCAGGCAGCGCTGACCGCCCCCCGCAGGCAGGGCGTGGAAGGAGCTGAGCCCCGCGGAGAAGCGGCCCTTCGTGGAGGAGGCGGAGCGGCTGCGCGTGCAGCACCTGCGCGACCACCCCGACTACAAGTACCGGCCGCGCCGCCGGAAGCAGGCGCGCAGGGCGCGGCGCGCGGAGCCGGGCCTCCCGCCGCCCGGCCTCCCGCTGCTGGGCCCGCCGCCCCCCGGGCCGCCGCCCGAGCCCTTCCCCGCGGCGCCCGGCCCGGGCCGCGCCTTCCGCGAGCTGCCGCCGCTGGGAGCCGAGTTCGACGGCCTCGGGCTGCCCACGCCCGAGCGCTCGCCGCTGGACGGCCTGGAGCCCGGCGAGGCCGCCTTCTTCCCGCCGCCCGCGGCGCCCGAGGACTGCGTGCTGCGGGCCTTCCGCGCGCCCTACGCGCCCGCCGCGCCGCCCCGGGAGCCCGGCCGCTACGGGGCGCCCCCGGGGGAGGCGCTCAGGACCGCGCCCGCGCCGCCGCCCGGCCTCTACTGCGGCCTGGGCGCCCCCGGCCCGCTCTCGCCGCCGCCCGAGGCCCCGCCGGAGGGCGCCGAGCCGCTGGGGCCCGTCGCCGACCTGTGGGCGGACGTGGACCTCTCCGAGTTCGACCAGTACCTGCACTGCGGCCGGGCGCGGCACGACGCCGCCGGGCTGCCCTGCCACCTGGCGCTGGCCAGGCTGGGCCCGCGCGCCATGTCCTGCCCCGAGGAGAGCAGCCTCATCGCCGCGCTGTCCGACGCCAGCAGCGCCGTGTACTACAGCGCCTGCATCTCGGGCTAGGCCGCCGCCCCGCCCTCCTTCCCTCCCTCCTCCTCTCCCTCCTCATCTCCCTCCTCCTCTCCCTCCCCTCGTGCCCCCCCTCCCCGCCTGCAGCCGCCGGCCGCCAGGACCGGCCTGCAAGGGTGGGTCCGGCCTGCGCAGGCTTTTCCTGGACGCCCGGTCCTAGAACCTGTGGGCTGGCCCTGCCAGGGTTAAGCTTTCCAAGCGTCTAATCTTTTCCTGCAGTGTTTTCTAGAACCAGGCTGTGTTTTTACCTTGCCTTTTTTTATATACATAATACACTATATTTAAGTTTTAAACTTTTACACCCTGTCTTCCAAGGGGTCTCAGTAATCAAAGCATCAATGTAGCAAGGGCTTTTCAATGGGAGGAACCACCTGTTAGTTTGCTGTAAAGGAGGAGCCAGAGCTGGTCCCCTGAGCCGGGCGAGGCCACAATAAAGCGCCGCCTCTTCGCCCTGAGCTCGCCTTGTCTGTGGTCGCTGGGGAGGACGGAGCAGTCCCCGGGGGGGGCCCTGGACCTGCCCTTCCCTCCAAACCTCCCTCGAGAGTCTGACCCCAGCTTGGACCCCACTTTTTCACCCTGCCCTAAGAGATGGTGGGAGGCAGGAGCTGTGGGCACTCCCCATCCTCCCAGCCCTCCATTTCCCTTCTGCCCTGCCCCATTTTCACTCAAGCCTCATGGGGTCAGACTTCTGAGCAATCCCCTCACCCAGGTTTCCTCCAACTTGCCTCCTCCTCAAACTTCCTTCGTGCCCAGGGACTGCCCAAGATGGCCTCGTGGACGGAGCGGGGGTGTGTGTGTGTGTGTGTGTGTGTGTGTAACACTGTACACAGACACACATCCTGGGCCCCGCCTGTCATTTTCAACCCGTGTCTCCAGAGCAGGCAGAGCCATGACACACCCGTGATGCCCCAGGCCACCTGTCCAGACCAGGCCACCTGCGGCAGGGGGCAGGCCGCAGCCTCCAGCCGCCCACTCTGAAGTCACATGGTCTCTGCCCTGAGGACGGGCCTTCCCACCCGCCTCCTCCGCCCAGCCCCTGCCCAGCGCCCCCAGGTTTCGGAAAAGTCGGCAGCAATCACCTTCGTGGGTGATTCCCCTGGGGTGGAGTCCAGTAGCACCCAGACTGACCCCTGCGCCAGCTCCTCGGCACCGAGCTGGTCTTCCAAGCCAAGGGGAGAGCACGTGTTCCCTGGTCTGTCCGACCCCATGTATATTTAGGTCCCTGACCACCCTGATGGGGGGAAGGTACACTCAGTTTCCCATGAGCATGTGCCCTGGGGAGATGGTGTCTGAGATGTACAGGCCCTGTGATGCCGGTGAAACAATCTACACACCTGTGGGCATGCTTGTAAGTCAGTACGTACGTGTGTGTGCACACGAGGCCCTGAGCATAGCTGCGATGCTGAGAGTGTGGCCATCCATGAAGGTGACTGAGCGGTGTGAGACTGTGCACACGGTGTGCAGCGAGCCGGGGCCCGGCCGCTTGTGTGCCTGTGTCACAGGCGGGGTCTGCGGCCCAGGTGTGTGCGGCTGCTATGGGGGCCCTGCTCTTGGAGGTAGGTTGACATCAGTCGCCTGTGTGTTAACTGGCATGAGCCCTGCATCTCAGCAGGCAGAGCTGGGGAACAGGATCTAGGCCCCCTGTCCTCCATCAGCAGCAGGGCCCAGAAAACTCAGAGACGGATGGAGAAAGACCAGCTGAGGGAGCCACAGATGGACGCAGAGGTGGGACAGGCCCCCAGTGGTGGAGGGACAGACAGAAACAGCCCACAGGACACCAGAGCAGCACCCGCTCCTTCAGAGCACACGGGCAGGCAGGTTGAGACACTGAGGGCGGTGCCGGCTCTTCTGCCCCAGCAGGGGAGGGGCTCAGAGGCGCCCTCTGGTCCTGGGCTCTCCCAGGGAGCATGCTCATTGCCCTGGAGTGCTCAGCCACACCCACTCGCCCAGCTCAGGAACTCCTGTCCGGCCCTGACGCTGCTGGGGACAGGCGGCCCACCCTGGAGCCCGGCCAGCTTGGCCAAGGCGCCTGCCATGGCCCTCCCGGCCTGGGCACACAGCTGGAGCCCAGGAGCCCCCCCTGCCCCTCCCCTGCTCCCGGCCAGGCCTGTCCTCCGCCCAGAGCCAAGTGCACAGCCCGAGGTCCTCCCTGTCGGGGCCACCAGGGCCCCTGCCCAGTGAACCATGGACACACAGAAAGGTGCCAGGCCAGCTACGGGGCTGAGCGGGGCTGTCTTGGCCGTTTGCCGGCTTAGGCTGGAGCAACCTTCACACCTTCATTGTGGGCTCTGCACTCCGCCATCTCACCCAGAGGCCCAGCCCAGGCAGGGGAATGAGGAGGCCCGTGGATGCCTGGGTGGCAGGACCCACTACCCAAGGAGGGCGCAGCCCAGCAGCATTCTCCCCAGGAGCCACCCTCAGCCCCTGTGGAGGAGTCCCCACCAGGAGCAGGGTCTGGACAGGGACGCGGGCCTCTCCCCAAGGGCAGCGTTTGTACGAGCCGCTCCTCGGCAGTGGCGCTGGGCCAGGGAGGAGAGAGGGTCCCCTCGGAGGGAGGCCCTTTGTCCAGATCGCGCCCGGGGGCTCCCCATGGGGCCTGCTCACACCAGCCCGTGATGCCAGCTGGTCCTAGGCAGGACCACAGCCCAGGGCCTAGGTGGCTCCGGCTCCAGGTCAGACTTTCCACCTCTGCCTCCTGCTCCACCTACCTGTTCCCCAAGGGTCAGAGAAGGGAAGTCCCCACCCCACCCACCCACCCCGCTCCCGCTGAGTCCGGCCAGCCAGGAACAGGCCCAGGCAGCCCAGTGCCCGGCGGGAAGTTCTAGCGCCCAGTCTGGCAAAGCCTTGGCTCCCACGCCCAGGACCAGCCTGGCCCTGGCGTGACCTTCGGGGTTTGAAGCCTTCCCAGCAAGCTGCCCGTGGGAGGAGTGCAGGGAGGTGGGCAGAGGGCAGGCCCGGTCACCACCCTCAAGAACACTGGTAAGAGATACACCGCCACCAACTCGGTGCTCACACACCAGCCCGTGATGCCAGGCTGGAGATCGAGCAGGGACCAAACCACCCTGCCCTCCCCTGGACAAGCACCAGGCAAGCCAACCGCCCAGCTCACATGCTACAAAACCCACACATTTGTTTTGTTTTATTTTTTTTTTTTATTGATTTTGTACAGAGAGGAAGGGAGATAGTTAGAAACATCGATGAGAAAAAGAATAAAACAAAAAAAAAAAGAAAAAAAATAGAAACAGTGATGAGAGTCATTGATCAGCTGCCTCTTGCACACCCCCTACTGGGGATATGCCCGCAACCAAGGTACATGCCCTTGACCAGAATCAAACCCGAGACCCTTCAGTCCCCAAGACGCTCTATCCATTGAGCCAAACCAGTTTCGGCCAAAACCCACACACATTTGTAATGAACAGCTCAGTGTTTAGTACATTCACAGGTTGCACAAACATCACACTGACTTCAGTGTTTTTCTATAGACCGGCAGCAGTCCTGGCCCCTTGTTCCTCACCGGCCCCTGCGCAGCGCCATCTTCGCTGCTCCTGCTCCGGGCACCGCGGGCCGGACTCCCCACAGAGCTGGGTGGGGCACGCAGCACAGGCTGCGCAAGGCCCGAGAACTCGTGTCGTCCCTGCCGAGGCATTAGGGTGATTAATCAAATGTCTGACCAAATGTAGCAGCTAATTTTTAAGTTGCTGATTTTGTCTGGCCTGAGGACGGCATTACAGATATCCAAACGGCCCACGGCAGAAGCAAGGTCCCCACCCTGCAGTGGGTGCGGTGGCCTTTTGAGTCATGCTTTGCTCACTTAGCATCACATTTTCAAAGTTCACCCATGTGCCAGCATCATTGGGCTGTTTCTTATTCTTTTTTATTTATTTTTTATTTTTATTTTTAAAATATATTTTATTGATTTTCCACAGAGAGGAAGGGAGAGGGATAGAGAGTTAGAAACATTGATGAGACAGAAACATCAATCAGCTGCCTCTTGCACACCCCCTACTGGGGATGTGCCCACAGCCAAGGTACATGCCCCTGACTAGAATCGAACCCGGGACCCTTCAGTCCACAGGCCGACGCTCTATCACTGAGCCAAACCGGTTTTGGCATATTTATTTTTATTTATCTCAGAGAGGAAGGGAGAGGGAGAGAGAGAAACATCAATGATGAGAATCATCTATCGACTGCCTCCTGCATGCCCCCTACTGGGGATTGAGCCCGCCACCCGGGCATGTGCCCTGACCAGGAATCTAACTATGACCTCCTGGTTCATAGGTCGTTGCTCAACCACTGAGCCACACCTTCCAGCCTCATTAATTTTTTAAAAAATATATATTTTATTGATTTTTTACAGAGAGGAAGGGAGAGGGATAGAGAGAAACTGCAACCAAGGTACATGCCCTTGACGGGAATTGAATCTGGGACCTTTCAGTCCACAGGTGGATGCTCTATCCACTAGCCAAACTGGTCAGGGCAGCCTCATTCATTTTTAAGTCTGAATAATATTCCGTCGTATGGACAGACCACATTGATTTCTTGACTCATCAGTGATGGACAGTGGGTTGATCCCGCGTCTTGGCTACAGTGAACGATGCAGTGACATTTTGTGTGGACGTGTCTGTTAAAATGACAAACGTTTGTGTCTGACGAACACGTCTGAGCAAGGAGACGAAGCACCTCAAATCTATGTGCTAGGGCAGCTGTCCCCAAAGGGGGTCCGGAGCCTCTGAGCGCCAATCCCATGGCCCCTCAACCAAGGCCCACCCAGGCCTGCCGCAGGCCGGGCTGGGGGAGAGTCTGGCCCTAGGTGTGGGAGGCCTGACCCAGGCCGGGTGCGGGCCCCAGGTGCCTCCTCTCTGTGCCAGCCCACAGGCCCGGCTTCCGCCCACCCTCCCCTTCCACAGCCAGGCCCCAGGGAAGCCCTGCGGGGCCCAGGCCCAGTTCCCAGAGGCGGCGCCCCGCCCGCCCAGGCCTGCGACCTGCCGCCGGCGCGGAGACAGGAAGGGCCGCTGGGAGGAAGCGCAGGAAGCAGCGCGGCTTATCTGGGGCGGCAGCCGGACCCCTGGCCGCTCGCCGGCGCAGGCCGGGAGGCGGGCTGGCCCTGGGGCGCCCTGCAGCTCCAGCCCACACAACTGTCACCCTGGGCGAGGGAGGGCGAGTCCCTGAATCCGGCTGCGCCCTCCACCCACCGGAGAGGAGCAGTGCGGGCCAGCGCCTGCCCAGGGCCGTCCTCCCCAAGCACATGCTCCGACCCTCACTCCCCACACAGGCCTTCCCAGCAGGTGCGGCTCCGGGCCGGGTATTTGTGTCTGTGCTCACAAAGCCGGGCCTTTTCCCAGGGAGGGGCAGGATGGGGACTGTCGCTGACATTCCCCAGGGTCCCACAGGCCGCTGGCAAGGACAATGGCCGCAGCACCTGGCACCCACACTGTGTTTGCTGAGCTTCCTGGAGCGGGGCCTGTTTGTCCCCGCAGCCCAGCTGGAGAGGCAGCCTCCTCACACCTGCAGGGCCAGGCCGCTCAGGCTCACACGCAGGGCCCTTGCTGGCAGGCTGTGCCCAGGTCTCCCTGCAGGTGCTTCCTCGGGCTCCCGCTTGGGTACTGTCCAGTCCTCCGCACACAGCACAGATATGGGGGCAGCCGTGGCTCCAGGGACCCAGAACTGCATGCGAGGACCCCAGGGAAAGCTCATACCCCGCGCCCCCCCCCCCCCATGGGCCTGTCGGCAGCGTGGGAAGGGGAAGAGCAGGGGCGTGGAACACACAGTGGCGAAGTCAGGATAACTTTGGTTTTTCTAACCCAGAGACTAGTTTGTGGATGGCCCGGGTTCCAGATGTTCTTTCAAAAGCTCCCAGTGTGGGGAGTCCGCGGGCGGCTACTCTTCAGTCAGCTGGCCCCTCCCCCACGCTGTGTGGGGCCTGGCTCCCTGCTTCGGGAAGTTGCGCAACCCTGCTAGTGCCCTGCAGCCCCATCTGCTGCCCGCTCAGCCCCGTGTCCCAGTCCCCGCCTCCTGGAACCAGCTGAGAAGGCGCGAGTGTGGGACAGGGCACCCCTGACCCCACCACGTGAGCCCAGACACAGGGAGGGCAGTGACACCGGCAGACGCAGGGACACAAGGGCCCGTGCACCAAGCCATGCCTGTGCGCGTGGCTCTGTCCCTGCGGCCAGTCTCACTCCAGTTCTGCCAGCACCGGTCAGACCCAGCCAGTGCATTTACTGAGTGCTCATGTGCTGTGGTGAGCAAAGCAATGGAGGGGTCCCGGTGCCCAGGCTGAAGAACAGCCAGCACCTTGGGGTCTGGAGGGCACCGGCTCTCCCTCTAGTCTGTCTCAGCAAGTGTGGCCCTGCCCCCAGACCTGACTGGTCGGGACGGTCCCACTCAGCCCATGAAGTTGTCCCAAAAGCCCGAAGCCCACCCTGACTCCCAAAGACATATATGCACACCCAGAACCTGAGTGGCCCTGAATCCCAGGCAATCCCCTCCTGAGAGGAGGTGGGGATGGCAGTGACACAGCCGCCTCCACGGATACCTGCGCCAGAAGCTGCGAGCAGCAGGCAGGCCGCCTGTGGGCCTGGAGGGAGCACGGCCCAGGCACGCTGGTTTCAGGCCAGTGACACTGATTTTGGACTCTGGCTTCTGGAATGGTGAGAAAAGAAAGTTCTGCTCTAAGCCAACGGGTTTGTGGTGATTTTTCACAGCAGTCTTAGGACACAGATACAGATAGTTTCTTTTCTTCTTTAATCATGAACAATCTATCAGTTTTTTTTTTTTAATCTTTATTGATTTCAGAGAGGATGAGAGAGAAACATCAGTGATGAGAATCATTGATCAGCTGCCTCTTGCATGCCCCACACCAGGGATTGAGCCCACAAACTGAGCATGTGCCCTGCCCAATAATTGAACTGTGACCTCCTGGTTCCTAGGTCATCGATCAGCCACTGAGTCATACTGGTCAGGCCAGATGGCTTCTAAGATGTGGGGACAGGGCCTGGGTCCCCCACACCCACAATACTGGCCCATCATCCAGGGGTTGGCATGTCGGAGGCCTCAAGAGAAAGGTCAGAGGGTGGAAGGGGTGGGTGGGGCATTGCAGGAACAGGAACATGGGCGCTGTGTTCTGCTGGCTCAAACCAGAGGCCTCCAACACGGGCCCCACAGGCATTCAATTTGCTAGGACAGACCGGGAGGGCCTCAGAGAGGGGAGCTCACTGGGCAGGGGAGCGGGGAGGCAGCAGCCTGGACCTCTATGTACACACTTAAAGGTAACCTCAGCACACACCTATGTGCACACTGACACACACCGGGTGGCCAGGGAGTGGGGGCATCTCACCCACTCATGTGGTCGTGGTCCAGGACCTGCATGGGGTTTGTGTGAACCACATGGGTGGATGAAGGGGCTGCCTGTTACCACCGCTTCCAGCACAGCAGGAGGCATGGTGGGTGGGCAGCAGCCAGGAGCGCTGGAGGCCATCCCAGGCGAGCTCTGCCCATGGCCCCAAGCCTGGAGCAGGCCCACGTGCTGGGAGCTGGCTGCCGGGAAAGACAGGGGCCTGGTGGGAGCCTCCTGCCCCTGCACTGACGCTAGCTCTGACCTTCTCCAGCCCCACACGGCAGGAGCCCGGGATGTGACTGCTCCATCCAACACAGGTCTGCTCCCCTCAAAGAGGATACAGGTTGCCTAGACCTCCTTCATGTCCCAGCCTATTCCTTCAACCTCAACCACAGTCATCCCCCCAGCCTGCTGCACTGGGGTCTCCCCTATCAGCTCTAACATCCCTCCTCAGCTCAGCCCCTCCGGCTGCGCCGGCCACGTGGGGCATGCCAGCAGAGGGTCCTCCATGGGAGTGCCGCCCCAGGGCTGCGCCTCATGGATGGCAGCGTCAGGAGGGAGCCGGGCTCACCTGCTGCCCACGGCACATTTAGGTGCCACCCTCGCCGCTGGGTCTTGCCCTCGCTCTTATACTTCCTGTGTGTGACCTGGTCAAGTCCCTACCTGGTGCCTCCGTTTCACCTAGAAAACGGACAACAGTTCCTGCTGCAGGACTCATGTGTTGACAGACCGTGGGCGCTGGGCAGAGTCTGCCAGGTCCTGATGGTCACGCCAACGGCTGCCCCCGAAGGCCTTCCTTGCACCCCCTGCCTCGGCTCTGCCAGGACCTGAGGCAGGGCCTCTCGTCTCCGGAGAAGCATCCGCCTCACCATTGCTCTGCCTGCCAGACTCCCCCTTGGCCACAGGCTGGACTCGGGCGGGGACAGACCCCAGGCCCATGCAGCCGCAAGGGGGAGAGCAGGGACTGGCACCCCACTCTGCAAGCAAACGCTGGGTCCCCAGGACATGACAGTGGTCTTTGGCCAGCCAGTCCAGTCCCACCATGGCCAGCCACCCCTCCCAGGGCCGCAGGAAACGGCCTGGCCCGCTTGCAGCCAGGGCCAGCAGCTCTGGCTTCCCTTCAGGCCCGTTTCCTTTATCCGGCTGTTTTGCTGTGAATTCACAAAGCCCAGCCTTCCCTTCCCCTTCAGCACACCCCTCCCCGCCCCAGAGGGAAGCCCAGGACACGCACGGCGTCCCAGCGCCTCAGGCCGAGCAGGAGCCCAGCGTGGGAAGGCGCCCCCTGCTGCCCGAGGTGGGAAGGGCGGCCTTGCCCAGGTGTAAAGGAAGTGTATCCAGGTTCCCCCAGTGCCCACTCCCAACCAAGCGGAGCCTGGGCAACCGCCCCGCCCCGCCCCCGCCGACAGGCAAACGGAACAAGCACTGGACTGGCGACACAAGCTGTTTATTGAGCCTCTGGGGGAGCGCGCTGGGCCCGGATAGGGCTCCGTCTCCAGGTCCCGGGCCCTGGGTGGGCTCAATGGCCAGCCAGGCCCACACGGAGCCCCCGGTGGTCACCAGACGAGACTCCTGGTAACTGCTCCATCCAGCACAGGCTGCTTGCAGGCGAGCTAGGGGCCCCGGCTGCCCAGGGCGCGCAGGGCAAAGAGCTTCTCCCAGCAGGTGGCGACGGCATCCAGGGCCCGCAGCAGGCGCCGCCTCCGGCCGCGGTGCGGGTGCCGGTGCCCAGTGCGCGGCTGGGCCCACCAGCCCGGGCGGCTCGGCTGCGGAACGGCCGGGCGGTCAGCACCTGGGCGCCAGCCAGGAGCCCCCCACCCCGCAGCCCTCGCCAGCCCGGGACAGGGCGTGCTGCCTGGTCTGGGCCACGGCGAAGCCCATGGTGGGAGGGAGGGCCGGGGACCCGCCCCGCCCGCCCGCCCGCCCGGGGCAGCGCGCACCTGGCGCAGCGGCCGGCAGTGGCGCCGCAGCACCGCCTCGGTGCGCAGGGCCACGGTCCAGGCGGCTCGCTCCAGGGCCCCGCGGGGCGCCCCCGCCACCGCTCTGCGCAGGGCCCGGCCCAGGGCCGCGATGGCCGCGATGACGCTGTGCTCCTGCGGAGGGAGGAAAGCGCGGGCTGGGGAGAACCCGAGGCCCAGTACGAGGCTGGAGGGCGTGAGCACATCTCCTCACCTTCTGGGCACCACAGGAGGGCCCCTCCCGACCCCGGCGTCCACCGGCCACGGCGTCAGTCTGGTTTTTCTCAGCGAAACGGAGCTGCCTGGGGCCTGGCCCGTCCCCTGCAGCCCCGGGCCCTGCCCGCCTCGCAGCGGCCTGCAGGTCCTCGGAGATGACGGCTTGGTAGTGGCGCAGCACATCGGGGACACTGCAGGCGCGGGGCTGGGTGGGGACCGAGGTTCTCAGCAGCGCCAGCAGGAGCGCCCAGAGCATGGGCTTGGGGGTTACCTAAAAGGCCGCCAGATCAGGGTGGGGCGCCAGGCCTGTGGAGGGGTCTCCCCTCGGGCAGCCTCACAGGCAGTGTGCTCCGCCACACCCTTGAGGAATCTGAGCTGGTGTAAATGCAGATGTCACCCCAACATCCAACAAGCAGCTGAGGCCCAGGCAGGGCCAGACAAGGCATGGGATGCACGGCCGAGGGGAGGTCCCAGACTGACAGCAGGCTGTGCTGGCTTGCTGGGGTGACCGCTCATTCCGTAAAGCCGGCACGGGGCGCACCTGAAGCTAGCATGCTGTCCCTGTGGCTGAAGGCAGAAGGGCCCGCTAAGCCGGCTCACCGCTGAGGCATGAGGCTAGGGAGACACGCTCCGGAGCCACAGCCTGGGGCAGGGCTGGCCTTGGCGGGTACCGCAGGGTGCCCCTCCCAGAGCCGGGCTCCCTTCTGTGCGCCCGGCCTCCTCCCAGAAGCCCCGGGCAGAACTGCCCCTCCAGGGGCTCTCCTACATTAGCTCTGACCCAGGCGATGGGGTCCCTGCACCCTAACCTGACGGGGACAGGGTGAGGTCTCGGAGCTGACGGCCACACCCTTCAGAGGTGGAAGGCTTGGGGAAACCCCCAGACGAGAAGGGAGGGGCGCACTGCTTAAGGCCTCCCTCCTCAGAACGGGGGCCGGCTCCCACGGTGGAAATCCACCCCCTCAGAAGTCCAGGCCTCACAGAGAAAGATCCGTCTCCAGCCCCAGCCCCCAAACCCACCCTCAGGATCCAACAGGGACTGGAAAGTTAATCAAGTGAACCGAGCGAGACCAGGACTCGACTCGGCTTCCCAGCCCTGGCTGAGAGCCCCCCGCAGCACCCCAGCAGGTACCCAGGCCTGGCGTCTGCGGGCTCCTGCACGGGCCCCTGGCCGCTGGAGGCGCAGATGCAATTAGCTGCGCCCCTTCCCCAACCTGGGCATACAGCGGGTGGCCAACCCGGAGTCACCCCTCTGCCGCTGTGGGTCAGAGGGCAGTGACAGGAGAACAAGTTGGTGCTGGAGGAGGGACGTCCAAGTGGGAAAGTTTGTGGCCCAGGGATCCTCAGAACACCCATCTGTCCTATCTCCCCAACAGGCACACACGCACACACACGTGCACGCACACGTGCACACACAGGGCCCCAAGGCTCAGCCCAGCCTGCAGACTCCCTGCCCCCAACCCTGCTGGCAAAGGCTCGGCTCGGCCCAGCACCTGCGGCCCCAGCACGCAGGGCCGGCTCCGCAGCCTCCAAGGGGGACTTTCCCAGGCGGCCCTCACCGGCCGGCGGGGCACCGAGGACCAGGCAGCCTCCGGGGCTGGGCCGGCTCCCAGCTCCCAGCCCCTGGGCCATGTGCGCCCCCTCCCTAGGCCCGAAGCTGCTCACCATGGGCCTCTCAGGGGCAGGCCCTCCCTCATTCCTGCCTGGGAGCCTCCAGCATGATCCCGGGGTCCTCAGTGGGGCGCAGGAACCTCTCCAGGTCCGCTCCAAGCCCAGCCAGTCCAGCCGAAGGCGTCCCCGGACGGGCTGCAGCAGGGCGGCTGTGGCTGGGCTGGCGGCAGGCGGACAAGGCTTTTGAAGTTGGCTCCTCCAGCAAAGGAGGGAGGGAGGAGGGAGGCCCCAGGATCCCAGCCTGCCCCCTCCCTCTCCCAACTCCGTATCCAATCGCTTCTCCAATTAACCTGACCCTGGACCCAGCAGTGCTGGGCTCTCTTCCCACCCAGTGGGTCCTGGATTGAGTCACCAGCTCCACAGACATGTGCTATCCCAAAGGGGGTGGAGAGGGGTGCCCAGTGGGCAGTACAGCCAGGTGGGGAAGGGGAGCCAAGTAGGGGACCACCTGCACCCCCCATCTGGGTCTCCCTCTGAGGTTGGCAGGGCTGTTTCTCCCAGGAACCTGACCACAACAGCAGCAGCGAGGGGACTTTATCCCCACCACGCCAGCACCACCCCTGACGCCAGGGGTCCTGCCCCGGCAGGTCCCTGCGTGGGACTTCCCGCTGGCCCCGCACCTGACCAGCTGCTGCCCCTCCTGGCTGGGCCCAGAGGACAGGGACAGCCTCTGGGACCCACTCGCCAGGGGTGGAGCTGAAGTGTTTCCCAGGAAGAAAAAGAATGTGCCTCCAAGCATCTGCGAAAACGATGCCCAAGACATTCCCGCGGGTGATCCTGATGCTCTGGACTTTCCAATTTCCCACAGGAAGCTCACCTGACATCAAAGCCAGAGGGGTGCCCAGAAGACACGCCCCGCTCGGGGCGCAGACCACCCACGTCCCTGTGGCCACAGCCAGCGACTTGTCTGTCCCTCCCTGAGCCTGTTTCCACGGCACAGACGAAGGAGCGCCACGAAGCTCAGGTGCCGGGCCTGGGCAGACCGCCTGCCTCTCCACGCAGGGCCTCAGGAGGTCCTGGTCCCTGCCTGCCAGTGTCCCGGGACTCCTGCTCAGCACACAGGCTAGGCAGCTACAGGTGCTTGAGGAGCTCTGCTGATTATAAAGCAACAGAAGCAAAGCCGCCTGCACATGTGAGGACATCTCACGGTGACATCTTCCTCCACCACCGGCCGGAGGACCTCCCAGGCGCCCTTCGGCACTGGCTCTGGAGGCAGCTGAGGACGTGGCTGTGTGCACTCAGACTCAGAGGTCTCCCCTCTCCTCCTGCGAACTGTGATCTGGTGACCCGCTCCAGAGGAGCTGCAGGCTCCAGAGGGGACAGACAAGTCACTAGCAAAGGTATACTTCCCACCACTTCCCCCCGAGTCACTTCCTCTCTGAGGCCGCCCTGCACACAAGAGCGCCCAGCCCTCCAGGCCAGACTGGCACACAGCACAAGCCAGGAGGCCCAGAGAAAACCAACAGGTCACCAACCCTCTCTGCTACCTAGAAAAACTTTAATTCCAGCCTCTCCAACCCTGTCCCCACACGGCAGGCAGGCACCTCGCCACCTGCCCTGAGAGCCCAGCCCCGAGGGACCGCCCAGTCAAAAGGTGTTCTTGATGCGGGCTGCCACCAGCACGAGGATCTCCCCGATCTTCCTCTGCCAGTTGGCGATGTCCTTGGACACGGCGCACCACAGCTCGCCGTGCCGTGGCTCGGCGTTCTCGCAGCGCCTCCTCACCTCCTCCCGCTGCTCCTGGATGGGGCCAGAGGGCTCTTGAGACAGGGCTCCTCCCGGGCTCTCCCTCCCCCGTCCCGCTGTGCCCCTCAGCCCCAGCTGGACCCTGCTGCTGGGAGCACCCCCCCGGACAGATGGTTTTGGGGCAGGCCTGACCCAGGTGTATAGCAGAGTCAAGCCCCTGCCTCCCTCAAAAGCAAAGTCAACTTCTCGTGGGCACTCCACCTGTGAGCCCAGCCTTCCCTGGAAGCCATACCGGGGCACCAGGACAATCCTCATTTCTACTGGGACCCCATCACCAACTGAGATGCGAACAGGCCGTTTAACAGGTCCAAACACCTACATCTCAGGCTGAGGCTACAGAGCTGTAACCGCAAACAGCTGCGGAGGACAAGCTGCCAGCAGAGTGCTGTCCCGCCCCACCTGCCCCGCCTGCCCGCCGCAGACCTCGGTGCCGTGCTGCAGCTCGAACTTGTAGAAGAGGGCCCAGGCATCCCCCAGGTCCGAGTCTATCTTCACGGTGCGGTGGAACCACTCCCGGGCCTTGGTGATCTTCCGCTCGCTCCAAAACAGCCTGTCGGAAGCCGAAGGGGGAGAGCCCAGGGTGAGCGGCCAGCAAGGGCCTGGCTCCAGCCTCCCTATGTGTGGGTGCAGCATGAGCCCCGAGACACGTCGTGGCCCCTCTGTCCTCCCTGCGAGCCCTGGGCTCCCCCGGAGGCTGGGGAAGGAGCCTGGCCACCTGGAAACCATGCAGGTCACAAAGCCAGAGCCAGTCCCCCAGTGCCTCCCCACCTGTTTCCGAGGAAGGAACCTGCACGCCTTCATCCCTCTCCTCCGGGGAAGATACAGGAGATGAAAGGAAACTGACAAAAATGTGAACACGGCTTTGATCTGGAAAGGAAGGGAGGCCTGGCCTGTTCCTGCCCATAGGCAGCCACCCCTGAGGAGAGGCCTCAGGCCCGCACAGGCACCTGGCACGGCAGGCACAGACACCCGTGTCCTGATTGAGGGTCAACAGCGCCCCCGCACGTTAGTGAGGACAGGACGGTGGGAGGACTTGCTTCCAGCCCCGCCGCCCTCTTTGCCAGAGGTCCGATGCCGAGGGCACACTAACCCTCCACCAGGCAGCTGCTGGGGCCGGTCTGTAACGAAACCGAGTAATTGGATGCAATGATAGCTTGATTGTTTTTTAAGCCTTGTGGTATTCTTAATTGCTTGGTGTTAGATAAACTGTGATTTAAAGAGCACAAACCCAGATAGCAGGCACACAGAACACCAGCCTGGGAACAGCAAGGAGTGACTTGTTGATTTTAGCAAAGCCTTTTATGAGGTTTATGGCCGTCCTATCTGAGTGGCACACATAAAGGTCACTCTGGGAGGCGGAAGCACGGCACAGGAGGGAGGGAGCCCTGCCAGGCCTCAGGAGCCTGTGGGAGGCCCTTGCCCCCACAGCAGTGAGAAGAGGTGCTGGGCAGAGCGCTAAGGCCAGCTGAGCATATCCCCGCTCAGGCTCTGACAGCCCAGCTGCCACCTCTCCCGGGTGAGCAGCAGCCCCAGGAGCCGTCCGTATGCAAGCCCTGCCCCGCACATAGGTCCCACTCTCCTCAGGAAGTCCTCCTGCGAGCAAGCAGGGAGCGGCAGCTCTCAAGACGCTCCACTCATGGGCCACAACCTCACCCAGTGCTCCCAAGACTCCGAGCTCCTTCCCACGCCCCACAGCTCACACCTCCCCAGGGAGCCTTGACCCAGCACCCGACACACAAGCTCACGAGACCATTTGCCCTGAAGGTGGCATTTTGCTGAAACCGGTTTGGCTCAGTGGTAGAGCGTCGGTCTACGGACTGAAAGGTCCCAGGTTTGATTCCGGTCAAGGGCATGTACATTGGTTGCGGGCACATCCCCAATAGGGGGTGTGCAAGAGGCAGCTGGTCGATGTTTCTCTCTCATTGATGTTTCTAGCTCTCTCTCTTTCTCCCTTCCTCTAAGAAAATCAATATATATTAAAAAAAAAAAAAAAAAAAAAAAAAAAAAGGTGGCATTTCCACAACCCAGACACTGACAGCCGGACCCACGGCCCCGACGGCTCCCAGGCCACCAAGGAGCGACATTCTGTCCTGGCCTGGGAGACCAGTCCCTTGCTTACACCCTTTCAGCCAGAGGGGCTCTGCTTAGGAATTAAACTGTGTGCACCAACATTCGACGTCGCTCTCTGTCTTGAAACCCAGGGCATGTGTGTGTGTAGCTACACAGTGGCAGACACAGAGGAGCAGTCGCATCTGAAGGGCTGGACAGAGGGGACCAGCTCATGTCCGCACGGCCTCTGCTCCAACAGGCCCCGGCGCTTCGCCGAGGGTCTAGGGCCCCAGGGCCAGGGCCCCACCGGCCTCTCCACTCACTTGGCCACGGCCAGGAGCACGTGGGGGTCGTGCTCGCATTTCTTCAGGGCGTCGACGCTCTTGGTCCTCCTCTGGGGCCTGGCCTCAAGGAAGATGGCTTCGGACCACAGGACTCCTGAAATTCACAGACGCCACACCTCCGATTCTGACCGTGGCTCGCAAACAGCCTGTCCGGCCAACACCGCAGCCGAGAGGAGCACCACAGACCACATAAGCCCGCCCCGCCACCCCGAGGGCACAGGCTGGTCAGCTTTCTGGGGATGACAGGCTGGAAATAACGAGGTCTCACTCCTGCGGCTCAGTAATTCCACATCCAAGTCAATTGTAATAAAACCATCAGAAATGCTAGTCAAGAGTCACACAGAAAGGTTGTAATACTGAATTAAATCAGATTAAAAATTTAGAACAGTTGAGCGGTGCTGTCATATTTACAAAATTTTGATTTTTAAAAAAATATATTTTATTGATTTTACAGTGAGGAAGGGAGAGGGAGAGAGAGTTAGAAACATCAGTGAGAGAGAAACATCAATCAGCTGCCTCCTGCACACTCCCTGCCAAGGATGTGCCCGAAACCAAGGTACATGTCCTTGACCAGAATCGAACCTGGGACCCTTGAGTCCACAGGCTGATGCTCTATCCACTGAGCCAAACCGGTTAGGGCAATATTTACAAAATTTTATAATTTACATCCTTGAAGAGTCACCGATAATAGAAAATTCTCACCAACTTTTCAGCTTTAAAAAAATCACATAGCCGAAACCGGTTTGGCTCAGTGGTAGAGAGTTGGTCTGTGGACTGAAAGGTCCCGGGTTCGATTCTGGTCAAGGGCATGTACCTTGGTTGCGGGCACATCCCCAGTAGGGGTTGTGCAAGAGGCAGCTGGTCGATGTTTATCTCTCATCGACGTTTCTGGCTCTCTGTCCCTCTCCCTTCCTCTCTGTAAGAAATCAATAAAATATATATATATATTTTTTTAAATCACATAACTAAACATACTAGCCCCAGCCATGTTGCTCAGTGGTTAGAGTGTCGGCCCACATGCCGAAGGGCCATGGGTTCGACTCCCAGCCAAGGGCATGAACCTAGGCTGCAGGTTTGCTCCCTGCTTCGTTAGCGCGCCCGTGGGAGGCAATCCAGTTGATGTGTGTCTCTCACATCAATGTTTCTTTCTCTTTCTCTCTCTCTCTCTCCTTCCATCCTTCACTCCCTCCCTCCCCTCTCTTCTACTCTCTCTGGAAAGCAATGGAAA